GTGTCTACTCTGGCGTGTGTCGGGTCAGATGGGCGGTTTCTACACGTGTGGCTGTAAGTGTAAGTGCGTGTCGGGGAGCACTAGCGGTCCGGGCGTTGAACGTCGCACAAACACGTCACATTCTTTTTCCCCCCTTTGCAACTGATCATTATTACAAATACAATGATAAGCTAGTCTTGACGTAGATCTACTAATGAATTGTGCGCTGGTCTATGGAATCAAAAGTTGCCTTATGCTAGGCTCTCTTCACAGCAACACAACTTTTTGGTACAAGGCATGACGGATCCCAATTCCACACAAGGCCTGCACCAACGCGCGCTTTGCAGAGAGCTCTAAAGTAGTTACAGTAGAATCCTGTTATAACGAGACGTAGGGGACCGGTGCGAAATGTTCGTACCAGGATTCTCGTTATAAGGAATCCAGTAATATACTTTCAATGGAAATAATAAAGCAGGCCTAATCTATCAGTTTGGAGTTTGGAGTAATATATTTCTTTTTGTTATCTACCCTGACGATGACATTGTTCAACATGACCTCTAGGTCTTACTTGATCAAAAATTGAATCAGGTTTCTTTCTCAAGCGCTAGCGATGTTGACAGCACGGTGTTGGCGATCAGAAAGAATGCCCTCTGGGCTAACTCGCCCGCTGTGTTGTCCCCCACCCCACCCGTGGTGTGTTTCGTCTGCTTGCGCACGTTACTACACATTCACTCCATCCATCACAGCATTGTGACCTTTCCATTAGTCTCCATTCCCGCATCGGAGAAATGAGGGCATGGGTAGTGGTAGGCCTAGATAATCGAGACTAGGCTGGCCTATCACATGATGTGCTCTGCTTGTCTGCGCTTACCACACCCTCCCCACTCATTCGCTCGGGCCATCATTGTTGGCAAACGTGGGCTCTCCTATTCTTTGTTTCGCTCAAGGAGTTGAGATGTAAGGTCCTAGGTTTTGCTAGATCACTAACAGGTTTCTCAACTGGCGAGGTTTATATCTATGTATAACTCATAACTGGCCTGTGCGCTGTGCACAGCAATATTCCGCTATAACCGACTACCGTGTTTGTCCGATTGCGCTATAGCAGTATTTTATTTACAAAGATAAAGAAGGGGGAAAAAAAACGGAAAAAAAAAAAAAAGAAAAGTGTCTTATAATAACAGACTTTTCGTTGTTTCAGGACTCGTTATAAGTGGACTCCACTGTATCAAAATGCTAAAAATTTGCTTCTAAGTTCAGTTTTTGTCATCTAGCGTTGCCTCCGAGTTCCACTGTAGGCCTACTTGCTTACAGGGAGGTAGGCCTACCACTGATTTTGATATATTGCATATTGGGGTTGGAGTTTTCTGCTTATCACCATTGTTTACATGGGAACAAAAAAGGGGATTCCGGTAAGGTCCTGCTGTAGTCATGTTCTGCTTCTACTGTATACATCATGTAGTAAAAATGGCTTGGGGTCTGAGAGGCCCCCTTTAGGTTTCAAGGGGATTGTCCTAGGAAACTATTCAGTCTTCCAAATTATCCAAATAACTTCATAGACTGTACAAATTCATGCTTTAAATCAATACAGACTAAAGTCACTAAAGAGGGAGTCTGAAGAATCTGAGAGGAAAATAACACCTAACCAAAAGTTTTGTCAAAAATTGAAAAAATCCCTGGAAATATACCGGTTGGGGTCTGCAAGAGTGCAAGGTCCCCATCCAGAAGACGGGTTACACATGTAGAATGTCACAATTTCTAAAACAAAACAAGAAAAAAACACCCCACACAAATAAGTAATAGTAAGTTTATTTACAAAAATTACAGCATAAAAACAATTGTGAAACAAAACATTTCCCCCCAGTGTTTAGGTGTCATTCGTCTGTGTGTGCTTCACTACAACTAGCAGAGATTAACTTTTTACAGTATTTACAGTACCACAGTATGCCAAGAGCTGGGTGAGGTACATGATGTAATATGTAGTCACTACGACCTTTTGTGTCATGCAGTATGCATAATATAGCTTTACCAGGGCAGAAGAAATAGAGGTAGATTATCCATGCACTTAAGTACCCCACCCCGTCTCCCTTGACATGCTTTATTAAAAGGAGACAATACATTTGGAATCAAGGAAAGAGTAATGGGGACATTTTATATTTATATGGACAGAAATCTTATATAATCTTGGCCGCCTTTCAGCCTGCTCTTCGAGGATTTTTTTTAACCCCCAAGAGATCTCTGTAAAATGTGCAAAGTGCGTGGGAGACCGAGATTTTTTGTCCCTATTCAAAAGACTAGTTGCTCCAATTTTTTAAGGGGTGTGGTTTCGATGCTGACTATCAGGGCCAACCCTTGCAGACTGGGAGAGATATGACAACCAAGCAAGAAGACCAAAGGAAGGAATTGGCACCATAAAAATAATCTACATACCGGTACATTATTACAAAAACAAAACAATCCAATCAGAAAGGTTAGGAGGAAGAAAGTCAGATTAGTCAGAAGAGAGGAAAGACACAGATTCAACGGTATGCACTGCCTGGGTGAGCCTGCTCCTAAAGGGTAAATTAACTAAAAGAGAGGGAAGAAAAAAAAAAAAAATCCATGTTATTTGAAAGAAACATTGCACTGAATCACAAAAAAGTAGGAAAAGCAACAATTGAAATGCACTGCTGTGACTGTGACAAAAAACAATCAAACACGCAGCCCTAATCCTCCATTCCACCTGAAACCATAAAAAGAGCAACTAATGTTGCCTATTAAAACAAACAAGATGCAAATGCAATTTTTTAAAGACACATGCATGCCATCATAAGGGTCTTGAATACAGTAGAAAGACTGATGGAAATAAAAGGTAGAGGCAGGCCAAAAGCTACTGGAAGTAAGATACTAGAACATATCTGAGGATGATGAGATGGAATGTAGGACTACGTGGAAAGCCATGTTATGTCAATGTCTGCTGACTTAGATCTGGCACTTGAGAGAAAAAAATAAGCATAGGACTTAATTAATTCAAGGGAAACTGTAAAGTAGGCATAATCTATGAGTTTGGTGTTCTCTTTATTTTCTTTTGCTATCTCCCCTGATGACGATTTTGTTTCAACATGAACCCTAGGTCTTACTTCGATAAAAAAATCTAATCAGGTTTCTTTCTCTAGCGCTAGATCTAACGATGTTGGCGATCAGAAAGAAAGGGCTCTGGGCTAACTCACCCGCTGTGCCCCCCCCCCCCCGTCACAAAATGTGGTGCATTCCGTCAGCTTGTGCACATCACACATTCATTCCATCCATCACATTGCTGTGACCTCTCCATCCCCGCATCGGAGAAGTGAGAGGCATGGTAAGCCTTGATAATCTAAACTAGGCTTACGCTGGCCTATCACGTGATGCGTTCTGCTTGTCTGTGCATGCCACACCCCCCCCCCCCCTACTCAGTCACTCCCGCCTTCATTGTTGACACACGGGCTCTCCCATTCTTTGTTTCGCTAGATCACCAACTAGTTTCTTAACTGGCGAGGTTTTACACTATGTCTAATTAATTGGCCCATACACTGCGCACAGCAGCAGCAATATTCCGCTATAGCAGTATTTTATTTACAAAGGTAAAGAAGAGAAAAAAACCCAGGGTTTTAGAATAGTGTCTTTATAACACTTCTCGCTAGTTCCGGACTCGTTATAAGTGGACTCCACTGTATATTACAATTGACACTGAAAATTCATGACGGGTAGTTACATGAGACTCGTTGCCAAAGAAGAGTACAATAAGACCAATTTAAATGTCACGAGATCTATTCCCTGAGCATGTTTTGGTTGACAATTTATCTTTACAACACAAACATATTTTTTCTTTCAAATCTCAATTTTCGAGATGAAAAGTCAAATTGTCAACATCTTTTGCCGTATGTTCATGGAGTTTGTTTTCACAACAATATGTGATCATGTAGTCAACCCAAAAGTTAATTATATTTCATAACACAGAATTCTTTATATATGATAGTTATAGGCCTACATGACATGTAAAGGGCAAAATTTTGACTTTATAATAATTAATTTGCAGGTTTTCTCATCTGGCAAAGAGTAGGTACCTAACAAAAACCTGCCATCTCAGGTTTTTCATTTACACAAGGGCAGTGTCAACAAATCTGGAAATCATCATTCAACATACAAAATACTAGAACATATAACAAAAAACAACAATAACAGAAATGTCAAGTTGAAAAAATTCACGAGGTACTAGTTCCTGCGGATGTTTTGTTGCGTAGTCTCTCTAACATTTTTTCCAACTCATGGCTTCTTAGCATCTAATACAGCATTAAAAATCTTACTTGATTACAGGCGGATGATGAAATAGGTGTCCTGTCATTCAAAAGGAAATCATGTACACATGTTCTGAATGTTCAATGGACCAAGACTCAAACGTTGAAAGCATAAATAAGACAATTCCTTGAAACAATCCAGCCCATAAAATTTTAGCCCAACTTGCACGAAATATATACAGTAGTCTCCGCCTAAACGCACGGTACTCGGGAGGGCTCCTTAGCATGTGTTTATACGGAGCGTGCGTTTACATGAACCTTAGCAAAGGGAGGAAGGGACGCAGTCATCCCCTTGCCTTGATTTTCAAGTGACCTCCCTTTGGGGAGGGGGGATCACTTTGGGCCGATAGTGTGACGACACGTGACTGTTTTGTGAAGGACTGCGGATAAGAATACAAAGGCGTTGAACGGGTGTGTGTGTGTGTGGGCCAGAAAGACAGACTCAGTTTAATGAATACACCATAACATGTCGGGAACAGGTAGCCTAAAAGGAAATTGTTGGTGATAGTCACAGAGACGACGGCCCAGCCACGTGGCTTTCCAAGCGACCACCTCCTGCCGTAAATTCATGAAAGAGCATTCCCGCGTGTTGCGCATCATAGGCCTAGGTCTAACTAAACATTACATGCAGTCACTCAAACACCAGTCAGAAACTTTCTCTCAAAAGATGCATTTCCAGTGACCAATCAAACTACATTTCAGTCCCCCAACCCCCCAACATTTCACCGACCAGTCCTAGACCTATGTGTCCAGAAAGTTGGGTGTGAAAACGCTGTCCATCACTCGCTTTGTTCGGCGTGAGGGTCAGTCTCATCAAATATCCAGTTTTCTATGCTTGTCTTATATTATAGCAAGCTGTGCAGATTGTAGTTTGTAGCGAAAATTTCACTTTGTTAAGCTTTACCTGTCGGGGTGTTTCGCAGATCGGAGCGTGTGTTTAGAGGGAGTGACCGTGCGTTGGTACGGCTAAATTATATAGTCAAAAACCCGTCAGATGACGAAAGCATGAGTTTGAGCGGAGACTACTGTAGACTATAGATGACATTTTTGTAAAATGAACTGAGCCCTCTTAAGGACAAAACCAGAACTGGAATACAAAGATTTAGTAATGAATGCTGCCCTTTTGAGTCTTACATCTATTGCAATAATTTAATATTAAATGTACAAGTCCAAAACTATACTAATACTATCTCCCAAAACACATCTGAGTTAAGAGTATCCGCATAAAATTTCATTTCTGCGCAGGTCGTAAGTCTCTTTCATCCTGTCAAGATCATAATTGGCATCCAGTATCTGAAATATAGAGTTAAGCTTTATGTAAAGTAAATAAATATACTGACTATCAACAATCAGCACAGCACAAGAGAAGAAAATATTGACATGACCAATACAAACCATTCTTAACCCTTTCGTTGCCAGGGGCTATACATTCCTACTGTCACTGATTTTCGGCCGAGCTCGTTACCCATGACAGAAGCCTAATGTTTCAGTGTTAACCCTTCCAGCCCCAGCCATTTTTGTGCAGTCCCTAACCCCAGTCCCAGCCAATACAGCAGTATTTCAGAAAAAGATGCATGTATTCTAAAAAGTGATGTAGTATCTCTGTAATGAGGTTTAGATAAAAATATATGATATGATATAATTTTTAAAAAAGTAAATGAACACCTCTCTGGCTTCAACAGCACAAACTCTGCTTCGACTATCAAGGCACCCCGGAAATAGCGGGTCACAAGAGTGTGACAAACATACAAAAGAAGTAGAGGAAAATGATGATAGTAAGGATTAGGAAAGAAAAAGCAGCAGTTCCCTGTTGTAGTTCAGGCACAGTTATGAGTATGACATTGTTGAATCAGCCCATTTACAATTTACTGAGCACTAGAACGAGAAATGTCCCCCCTTTGGGAATGGCCTAAAGACATTTCAGTCAGTGGCACCGCCCCGGGGTGATCCTGACTTTTAGATTTCATAGATTGGCAGGTCTGATTTTCTTTGTGCATTACAGTTGAAAATGATCCCTTTTGGTTTGTCAATTTTATTTTATTTTTTATTGGCTCAACCACCACCACCCTTCCCCCCTCCAAATGGACACAACTCTAATGGTAGTCAATATTACTCATTTATTTTCTTGCTGTTACAAAGAAACCTTAAGTTAATTTAAAAATTGTTAGCATTCAATCATAGTAATGGTCACTCTGTGTGTGTCTGTGTGAATGTGCGTGCGCGTGAGTTAAATGTTTACATGCAAAAATTCTTTCTATAAAATAAGGAGATAATTGACTTTTACCCTCTAAGTTTCTAAAACAAGGGTTTAAATACCCCTTAAGACAGAAAACCAAAGGGTGAAGAAATCTCTTAAGTTGGTCTGAAAAGGGGAGCCCTGTTATGTAGGTATTATCATAATTTTCTTTTAGGATACTTATGAATATCATGTTTTGAAAAATAAGACTAATCGGCCACCACTTGCTGTGTGGTTGGATTGTTATTGTTTGGTGGGAATCACGCCGACCTACATTGTCCCCTTCTTATAGTGAATTAATTGCGATCTATACAAATGTATTGCTTCGTGGTGGTATTTTTGCTGTCTTTTCAACTAAGAACACCTTATTTATTCTAAATGCATCGAAATCTAAGCATCTCTGGTCGACAAAGTGAAAGAATAAAGCCGCGAAGAGTGGAACTGGGAGTTCTATTTATAGTAACATGACATCACACACTACTAAACACTTGGAAGGGGGTTACCGGGTGTTAGTGTTACCGATGGAAATGTTCGTAGATCTATTGTTTGGCATTTAATTCGGTAACAAAAAAGGCTAGATCTACGTTCTTGATTGGTGGATATTCAATTATTGAATCAACCAGCCTTCTTAGACTTAGTTATTTAGACTTAGATGTCACCTGATAGGCTAATTGGAGACCCCCCCCCCCCCCCTCTTTCTTCCATCCACTTACTGGACACACGATGATACATTGTATTTCCCCAGCCACTGGTTTCTTTCTCAGCTAAAATGATAAATAAATTTAGAACTAGATCTATATTATACAAGTTGAACCACGGTAGAACAGTATGTTGATTTAATTCCAATTTTTAAACCCCCTGAGCAGGAATCTTTATTTTCTGAATCAATATTGATGACTTTTTCACATTATTGTCCATATCTGAAATGTTTGGAAGGTTTTTTTCTTTCTATAAACTAATTCACTGTACAGAGCCTGAAAAGAGCTTTAATTTGATATATAATGCAACCTTGTAGCACAATTTGTTGATTTTATATGAATTTTTTCCAGTGGGCAGACATTATAATTTTCACTCAATAATGGCAGGTTTTTGGGCATTAGGGCCCTATTATGGAGTGCTATAAGAGGTTTAAGTAAACAATTTTCATTTGGCCCAGTAGAGCTTGCATTGAGCTTTAATTTGATGTATGATTTAGCCCTATAGCTTAATTTGTTCACTTGTGATGCTTTTTGCCCGAGGATGTACCAGAGTTCCCCCTATTTTTTTTTCCAAGAGGCGTTTTTTGCACTGAAGCCCACTTCAGAGGAGTCCAGAAAAGTTACTTATGGTCAGAGAGGTCTGAAAAAAATTCAGCTAAGTCTATGCATGTATTTGTAATGATTGTGTGATTTTCACTAATGAGGAGGCAGTTTTGACTAATTTGGAAGAGGTTAAAATAGGGTTCTGAGCTCTTAATGACAAATTTTGGATTTTTTTTTTCAATTTTTGAAGGCCTATATCTTGGAAACCAGTCATTCTAACATGTTTTGATTTAGAGATATCAATATTTGTGTTGACAGCTCTGGGAAAAACAAAGTTTTCATTGATTTGATCAAGCACTTTGCATTTTAGAACACCTCAAACAAGGGTGAAAGTCGCAGTTGAAAAGGTTTCGTTAAAAAACAACAACTTTGAAATACCATATCTCGATTGTTTATTGATGGATTTTGATAATTCTTTTTTTTAATGTTCTTGTTTCATAGAGTAGGTTTAAACGTCAATATTCTTCAAAAATATTTTCGCTTGTGGTACCTACTTTAATATGGCAGCAAAGATTTACTCACCAAAACTGGGGCTGGAACAGGGTATATATGATCTATGAGCCAAGAATCATGAAGATTGTGCAGAGATTCCAGAAAACTCTGATACAAGGAAACAAAAAATATATATGACAACAAAACAGAAATATTTTGATTGTGATTCAAGGGGAACCTAAAATGTTATAACACTACACTATAAAGAAGAAGTGAAGGAGGGCAAGCAAGCAGCTTTGACATCAAATTACAAATTGCCAAACATGTACTGAATGAACACCAGGACTCTAGCCTCATACAAAGGGAAATTCACCTGAGGGGGGGAAAAAGAAGAATAATTACCACTACCAAGGAAAAAGGTAGCCATACTTAAACACTGTATTCCTTCAACTATTAGTAAGAAAGAAAACACAGAGAAGACATACCAGAGGAACTGTTGCTTCTTCTGCACGAGATCGCTGTTTAAGACGCTGGTAGCAAGTTTCTGGGTCAGCCCTCAGATACACTAAAAATAAAATACAAAACCAAATAACTCATCTCCATTGATAATAACCAACACCTCCTCCCCCCAATTAGTATTTTTTTAAATACTGAGACAAAAATTTCCAAACTGGAAACATGACATTTGAATTTAGAGCCCATCTGGGCCTGCATAGCTTTCAAGAACTTTTTAAATGGCAAGCAAAAAGAAAAGTGGAATTAATAAAATGAAATAAAAAGCACTTACAGTCGCATCAACTGTAACAACCGCCTTTTCAAGACAACACATGGTATTCACATCCCCCCCCCCCCCCCAAAAAAAACTTTTAATATTACCTCCATTCATCTAAGACAATTGACTAAAACTAAAATAGTCTATTTTAAAAATAGAATATTTTAGTCAATTGTCTTTAGGAAAATTGGAAACCAAAAAATGTGAAGATGCAAAAATTCTACATTTAAATATGAACTCAGGAATAACAAAGTACTATTATATAGAATACAACCGTACGGTATGTTATGAAGCCATTGTCCTTTTCTATTTTGTTGAATAACTCTAGTGGGAGAAACACTCACCAATTAAATCAACATCAGCTCTGCCTGATTTGACTAGGTAATCAAACCACTGGCTCAACACAGTGTACTCAAATGGAGTAATTGTTTTGCTGAAAATGAAAAAAAAAAGTTTGTGTGGTGCAAAAATGAACCAATAAAAGGCATACAGTAGTCTCCACCCAAGACACCGGTGCTTGGGAGCAAGTAAAATGTGAAAGAATCTACAGAGACCCATGATAAGGCCCACACCTGGTAAAATAGTCTCTCTTCACTCTAACATGAACCGACGGGTGGGTTTATGACATGGCCATGAGGCATGCCATTTTCACTTATTATTCAAGATCCTGAGTCTCAAGATCAACGCTTATCTAGTAGCCCCCCTCTTTGACCTGTCAAAAATTTAAAGCTTCCCAGATAAGCTCGCCTCAATAGCTTTCCATCTCTGATTCTGACAGAGTTCCCCTGCCTTTGTCGTTATGCTACATTACGTTGTGACCCCACCAATTAAAATTCAGCCTGTCTCAAATTCGTGAGTAGAGACAACTGCAATGATCAAGGAAGAGTTCAGTTCGATGTGATCTCGCTTGAAGTGAACTTGTAGGCCCTACTCACCCAACGTGTGATTTAAGTTTAGGTGGCGGAGAGCTCAGATGCGAGTGTGATGTTTGGGGAAAACGCGTTGGTCAGTTCACACTTCAGTGTGATCCCATCAGGGGCAAACATTGTACCGTTTCATCGATTTATACAACGCTTATGTGATCATACCCATGAGAGTGGCTGATTTTGATGTGATGGGCACTTTAGTGGTCACAACTTTTCCATCTTGGTTGATTAGCTTAGCCTGCCCGGGTTTTTATTCTGTAAATTATGATTTGAAATGTGGGATCTTAGCCGAAAGTAGACCTTCTGAGTGAATCAGAGCGGGATCTTAGAGGTGACTTTTGCAGAGTAAAAATTCTGGTTTCTTAAATACAGCGGGATCTTGGGCAGAGACTACCGTACTAGTGATTTTTCTCTTCAAAACATGAACATTGCAAACAAAGCAACCAATTTTTTTAATCTTTCCTACTGGGGAAAATTACCCTGGGACAGCACACCCAGACAAAACATTCAAATTTTTTACTTACGCTCAAATGGATGTTTTTTTTTAGCAGTAAACACTTCCAACTGATCTTTTCTACACTATTGTGAATAGTTCAAACATTTATATAAGAGTAAATTATAAAAGACAAGATAGGCAAAAATAGAACGAACTGAGAATTTTGAAAACAAGGCTACTGAATGGTTTTGAAGGTGATTACATTTAGCAGCAAGAAGATGGTAAGTGTCATGACATGGTAGAATCAGGCCCTCGTCATTCTTTGGCCTATGGAAATAGGTATCATCATAAATTTTTTTCATTTGTCTTGCTTCTGATCAGGAATACTACACATCTATCTTGAATAGAAGCCAAGATATTTGTGACTGAAAGAGGTGCCAGAGACAAAATAAAATTAGCAAGAAAATGACCACCCAAGTTCGGTGACTCCGAAAACGAGTATTCTAGAAAACTGCAAATTTACTTTTTTGGTGTGCCTTTCATCATTTTTAAAATTAAAATCCACACACAAATTTATTTTTAAATGAACATGAAAGGTTTTACATTCTGTAATATAAATGTATGTATGTATAGTATGGGGTTTTACGGTGCTCGCAACTGCATAAGGTCATACGACCGCTCGAAACACAAGTTAGTTTTATTCACAGCAGTTCACTGTACAGCTGGGGTCAGGTCAATAGTAAGATTTTTAAATGTTAAAATATTAAAATTTTGTATATATATTTTCAATCTAAAACAACTTTCCTAAATAACAAACATTTTTAACAATTTTATTTCACTTTATAATTTCCCATAAAGGCCAATGGCCTTCATAAAATCTAAAATTCTGTGGGAACGACAGAAAAATATCTTGCAATTTTTTGCATTTAAAGCCTAGGTCTTGAGAATGCCCCAAGTCGGAATGCCAAACCAAATTACTTCCACTATACATGTACTTGAAACAACACGGGCTTGCAAAGATCCAACAAAACAACTAAATTCAACATAGACATTTCAGAAAATAGTTCTTCGAGTTTCTGCTGACAAAAAGTTTAACGAATGCTTCCCACAGAATAATATTTTACAAAAAATCCGGCACAATAGAAGGAAAAACAAAAAAAATCGGGATACACGGGATCAAAATTGGGAAAATTGAGATACTTGAAATTTGGGGCGCAAAACCTGGATATCCCGAATACATCGGGATGAGTGGCAGGTTAGGAAAATAAACTAATTCATTATTCTTCAGAGCCATCCCAGTCGTTCAATGGTGGACAATTCATGTTTACTAGATCTAGTGTGTTAAAGAAGGATGGGGGTAATCTCACGGCAGGGGTAAACTCAAGGCACGACACCGGCAAATATAATGCGAGCGACCAGAATCTGGGCGGAGTTTCTGTGCTCAAGCAAGCCGGTGTCTCCCAGAACTGCGCGCAGCTCAGATAAGTAGATTCTAGGTCGACTGCTTCTGACACAGACAAAAGGTGACTGCGATGTCATGTGTGTGGGTGTGTTGTTAAATCATTGACTCCGCTTCGGGGTAGAGAAGGGGGGAAGGTTTTGACTCAACTTCCTTTTATGTCCATATAACAACATTTCCATGTGAATTTTACTGAAAAACATTGATTAAAGGCACACAATATGTCATTTTTCAGTTTTCAAAGATTCTTTAGCAATCGGAGCTACCAAACTTTGGGGGTAATTTTCTCACTAATTTCACCACTGAAACCAGGCGACCTCACTTACTTCAAACGCAGATATCTTGAGTTCTATTCAAGAAAAAACGGATATTAATTGCATTGGAAGCAAGGCAAAAAAATCAGCTTTCAGATGATACCTATAACTCCACATGGCCAAAAATTGACGAGCACCTGATTCCACGACGTGAAACAATTTATAAAGTAAAAGGTAAACCACATCACAAAATTCTAAAAATAACATGTTTAATTTTATGAAGCTTACTCAAGGTAGTTATTTTGCACAAAGCAATAACGGGTACTGTACAAGGAACGTTCCAACAATTTCACAGGGCAAGTCTGAAAAGATAGAAAGGGAAAGAAATTAGATCTAATATTAGCACGTAAGTAACAGTGCTGTCATGATAACAAATAAAGCATGTAAGTAAAAAGTACTCGATGAAGGGAAAATTTACATTCATTCCGTTCTCACTAGAAACAACTGTGTGTTTGTGCAATAGAGGTAAACAAAACCTGTAAATATTTCACAAAGCATGTAACTGCTTTGTTGTCTATTACGAATATAAAATAAGAAAAATTCACCCCTGGCATTTCAACTTCAAATAAAATCGAAATCAGGGGTAATACAATCATATTTTCGTAATACTGAACATAAATCATAATGATTCCGTCAAATTTGTAATGGTAGGCAGCTCTGCTATTGGAGAGGAAGCTCGGGATCTATGACCAAAAATAAAGCAAAGTATATTGTTTTTCTTTTACACACTTCCCATGAGACAGAGACAGTCAGAGCTGACGCGTTGACTCGGAACGCTTGTTCAGTCTCAGTACTTGATAGTTGTTAAAATCGTAATTGCCTGTTCTACCTAGATCTTGCCTCTATGGACAAAACCATCTCTTCATTTGTCATATCATAATATATACTATAGTTTGATGAGAAGCGCGAGCTGTGTAACGTAAAACAAAGCGAGGTGTGCTGCCTTTCTTACACACATCTTGTGGATTGAGCATTAGTTGTCTCAGAACTGTCAAGTTATTTACATCGTTATGGCATAGTGATTAGATTCGACACAATAGGGATTCGACATTGTGACACGACTTTCCTCACTTCACCGACGTGGGAATGGGTACCCGACTGTAGAACACGCAAGATCATCTCAGTCCGTTATGGTTTGAGCGCGTGCAATACGTAGCTTGCACTGTCACGACTATACTTCCCGAAAAGCGAAGATTATTTCTGAGCGTTCTGTTCTAGGACATGCTGAGGTAATAGTTATAAAGCACATAAGGAAGGCTGTAGAGCATATATTAGCAAAGCCAATGAAAATTTAATTCTTAGCTCTACCCCTTTTTTATTTAGTACCCAAGAAAGAGTTTTGAATTCTAAGAATTATGCCTTTTAATTTAAAAAATCAATTCATAAATAAAAAAGTTATAAAGGTCGGCAAAATATGGATGACCCACATATATAGGAAAATACTCCTAAAAGTAAACCATGCAGTAGCAGAAGCTGTAAGAAAATCGATATCTCAGTAATTAATTGGAGTGTTACAGAGAAACTTGGCAACCCAATGTATTTTTGGGTGGAGAAATCACTTCTGCAGTCAGATTTACTAAGCATTTCGTAGTTATTTTGTTATAATTAAAATTTTGGTGTACATATTTCGATTTTGCGAAAAAGGGGAGTCAGGATAAGAGCACTTTATTTATAGCATTGTATCACAACATGGGATTTTTAAGAATATGTAGACAGTGTGATGTAATAATGGCAAAGCTTTCTTTGACCATGCCAACCGTAAAATATGATTTAATTCAATCTAGCATGCCGTTCAATTAAAACCCCCTTTTTCCCGTTGAGATGCGAACAGCCAGAGGTGAGATCGGAATACCCCCATTGCGATGTTACAGGGTAGCACAGAGAAAAACATCGGGAAGCACGCGCCCGCCATTGCCCTATTTCAAGTGATCAATGAACGGGCTCAGAATAGTCAAGCGGGGATTTGTAGGTCACACATTTGCATAGGGAGTGAGGGGAAAATGGCCAGTCTCCGTGCCAAGCTGCTTTGAACAGGGGGGTAGTGGTACAGTTATGATAAATTCTGCACATCTACTTGACACAGAAGGTTCAAATTTGAACGCAGTACAGTAGAACTCGGATTCAACGAGAACTCTTGATTCATTGAGATGAGATAGATTCCCCGTTTTTTTCCTTTTTATCAATGAAAATAACCCGGATTCAACGAGCCCTTAAATCAGAGAGCTTGGATTCAACGAGATCGCTTCCAGGGTGAACAGCCCCCGCAGACGTGGCGTCGCTCATTTTTATCCCAGAACGAACTTTATCTATTCCCGGAAACCACCCCTTGCAACTGCATCGTGAACCATTATTCACGTAGCTGTTTGCATGCAACCAATCAGCGTCCTTTTTTCGTACCACCACATGCGTTGTTGCCTCGAGCACGAGTCTACTCTGGCGTGTGTCGGGGTCGGAGGGGGCGCAATAGCGGTCCGGGCGTTGAACGTCGCAGATACAAACGCGTTGGTCTTTCCCCCCATCGGCAACATCATTATTACAATGATAAGCTAGTCTTGACGTAGATCTACGTAATGAATTGTGCGCTGGTCTATGGAATCAAGCGTTGCCGTTATGCTAGGTTCTTCACAGCAACACAACTTTTGTTAAACAATCAAGATGACACAGGAGTGCATTTGAACGAATCGGCCTTTTTTTTTTTTAAACACAGCTCATAATATGCAGGCATTTCAGGCACTACTTGTTACTTCTCTTTATACATAACTTGCTCAGTGCCTGTAATTATCTACACAAAACCTCGAGTTTGCTATAACGAACACTCGGATTCAACGAGATTTTAGGTCAGGCCCGGCGACCTCGTTGAATCCGAGTTCTACTGTACAGAGGAAAGATGGATCTCTTACCATTTGGTGTCGAATATCAAACTCCTTATAGTTTTCAGTGTACCCGATACGAAAGTGTAGGTTAATCGATGAGTACGAACTTTGACTTCCACATATCATTAGTTTGCCCTATTTTCTGATTGGTTGCCAAGTTTCATTCACATTGGTCAAGAAATAGCGCAGAACGAGCTTGAAGTCACCATCGCTCCGACCGACCTAATCCAAAAATTCACCCGCAAACGGGGACCAAATTTTCGCTGTACGCGGAAGCCAGATTGGCACTGCTACATATATGCACCATATAAATGCAATTATTATTATGGCTTGTTTTAAGCAGGTCTTGTCAATGGATTAATTTATCTCTTAATTTCTCTTTCTATTGACAAGTTTTACCTATTTGTCTCTTATAATCTCTTCTAATAAAACCACACAATAATTAACGACCTGAAATTTCTAGTTTGGTCAATTTAATCTGAAAACAACATGTAACAAACTACAACAGCAACCCTTCTCTTTCAAAAGAACTTACATGAGGTTTCATGTGCTGTTGTATCCTTGTCAACATAGCATACATGTTAAACGAAAAACTCCATCTCTCGGAGTCCTCATAAAGCAGACCCTGTGTGGATAAAATGACGGTGCAAAATACGAATGTAGTATTAATGAGGGTAATCACTGTTTACGAATGCAAATTTTTTATTTAATTAAACCTGTCAATGGAACGATTACTTAATCCTGTAGACCTAAGCATCTTGACCCATCTGTACATAAAAAAACACACAGCACCATGCCAGGATGTAAATTGTAAATCTACCAGCCAATCTAATGGGGCTTGGGCGTTTGGAAAGAAATACAGTTCATATTTTTAACTTTTGAAACATAGATAGCTCACTTTGTAGGACGAGGCACAAACTACATCCTAAAAATAGTCTACTATTGTACCATTATTATATCAATTGCAAGACAATAAGGTCATTGGTCATATATGTAAGTGTCTTGGACTTAATTATAACAAGAGAGTAGAGTAATATACAGTTAAACACAAAAAAGGAGGAAAGATAAGGGAGACAGAAGGAGCAAACCACACCGGAGCGCCCATCAACCACCCACTATCAATCTTGCATGATCTTCGATAAAGAAAACTCAATCATATTATCATCATCCAGTGCCAGATCTGCGACAGACATCGGCGATCATGGTTTTCCATTCATTCCTGTACTCGGATGCTCTCAAAAAAGCTACGTTTCCCTGATCTTTCCCTATTACCCATTTGTTCAGGTTCCCTAAGTATGTTGTTCTGGGCCTACCCCTGCCTCGCTTGCCCTCAATTTTGCCAGTGAGAGCCAGATGTTCAAGACTCTTATGTCTATTCAGGTGTCCCAAAAACTGCATTTGTCGTTTCCTGATTGTTTTTAACATTGAGCGTCCCACGTGGGCTTCATCAAACACTACCTCATTTGATTTCTTTTCTTTCCACGATACTCTTAGCATTCTCCTAAGAAACCACATTTCTATTGCTTCTATTTTATTTTCACTGTCTTTAGTGATTGTCCAGCATTCCCAGCCATATATAGAAGGGCTGACCAAACATAGCATTTCAGGACTTTCATTTTGGTGTTCATTGAGATGTTTCTATTTTTCAGGATTTGGGCTCATTTTTATTGAAACTAGCCTTAGCCATTGCAGTTCTCCTTTTTATTTCTGTGGAACATTTGGCATCAGATGTTATCATAAATCCTAGATATTTAAACTGTTGGACTTGTTTGATCTTTTCACCTTTGCTAGTGAGATTACAACAAGGATTTGTTGCTTTTTTTATATTACCATGCATTCTGTTTCCTTTACATTCACTTTCTGTTGCAACAGTATCTAGAAGCAATTGAAGGTCCTTTTCGGAGCCTGTTATTAAAACTGTGTCATCTGCTTACCTAATGTTATTAATATTTTCTCCATTTACTTTGAGGCCTGGACATTCTTCTATGTTTCTAAGGATTGTTTCACTGTACATGTTAAGGAGGTCTGCTGACCTAACACATCCTTGCCTCACTCCTCGCCTAATCTTCATATATTAACTGTATTCTCCATTAATTCGAACAGCAGCTTTTAGGCCCCAGTACAAATTTTTGATAATTCTTAGATCTTTTCCATCTATGTCTAGCTTTTCCAGTATTTTAAATAGCTCATCATCATGTCTAACTTTAAAATACTGGAAAAGCTAGACATAGATGGAAAAGATCTAAGAATTATCAGAAATTTGTACTGGGACCAAAAGGCTGCTGTATAATACACGGATAAATTCTACTCATATCAAGAGCAAAAGATTCAATGTCCAATAAGTCCATAAAATAAGTACAGTATTGTAAACATCTAATCCTTCATATAAAAAAAGAAAAGCCATCATCTTCATACCAATGCATTGTGTCCTTTCAAATTCCTCCACTTGTCCAATGGTTCACAAAAAATCTGTTTCAAGGGAGAAAAAAGAAGCACAAAATAAAGGCTAAAAGATCATTCCGAAAAGACAACATTAGAATTTTTTTTAATGAAAAAGAAGAAGAAAAAAAAAAAGGCTTTACATCTTACTTCAGTTTCACCCCTCTTGTAAGCAGAAAAGAAAGATCTCATTCTCACAATTCTTTACCACCCCCCCCCCCCCTCCCAACAACTAGCCAATCAGAAATCTATAGTGCAAAGACACACTCTGAATACATTTGGCACTTACAAGATTACTCCAATACACTTCCACAACTTCCATCCTTGCAGCCTTATATGGGAAACTTAACCTTCAGTTAACTGGGAAAGTCAAAAGATCACTGCAAACATTCCCAGCTAGAAGAGAACCTGATGACATAATGCACTTATAGGATACACCATATTTTCACATTTTAGAGAACAAATTTTATTCGTAAGCAGATTTACAGACTTCCCTGAAACGCTGAGTCTTCTTTAGGGCTCAGACCTCCCCCATCCAGAGTCATTCCTTGTCTTAAAACTTTATCACTCAGAACACTTTTACTCCATGATCTTACCTCAGTATATGATAAATCTTCAAAATGTTGAAGAAGTGTCGACTTCCCACTGCCGATGTTTCCTTCCACAGCAATCTTAAAGAGAAAGTAAAAATCCCTTTTTCACTGCATATGGGAACAGGAGGGAGGGAGGGGGAGAGAGAGAGAGAGAGAGAGAGAGAGAGAGAGAGAGAGAGAGAGAGAGAGAGAGAGAGAGAGAGAGAGAGAGAGAGAGAAAGAGAGAGTTTAGTTTAGTTTTAGTAGAGTTTTTACGGCACTGGCAACTGCATATGGTCATATAAGTGTCAAGGGGTGGATGTCAATAGAGAAGTCCATACATGGAATCACGCTTACTCAGATCACCTCTCTAACTTCAACAAAACAGAGTCTGCTCCGACTAACAAAGCATTCAGGAAGTAGCGGGTCACATGAGTGTGACAAACATACAAAAAAAGTAGAGGAAAATGACGATAGTAAGGATAAGGAAAGAAAAAGCAACAGTTCTCCATTGCAGCACTGTGCATTTAATGGAGGTATTTTTAATTTTAAATAAATTTTTTTCTTAATTATCATTAATACTGCCCTTAATCGTGTTACCGATAAAATTGGACGGTAACATAAATGATGATACTATAAGGGGAGGATGTGCGTGAGATACGAGAAATGGTGGGTGGGTGGGGCGCAATTACAGCGAATTATAGGCGATTGCTAGATTGAGAACCATAGATATGGGGTACATGGAAGCGGAACCAATAAATTGGAAAAAAAAGAATATTAATCTGCAGACAGGAGAAAAAAAGAGAGGCTAAAACAGCACCTGGACATGGATGGCTGGTGCCTCTATAAATAAATCATTGATGGTCAAGGTTCAGGCACAGTTATGAGCATGACACATGAATCAGTCCATTTACAATTCTACTGTGCATAAGAAAATGTTATCCCACCTTTTGGGAATGGCCTAAAGACACTTCAGTCAGTACAGTCCATGCCGGCTTAAAGCACGTTTCGGACTCAAGCACGCTAAACGGCTCTTACCAAATTTTTGCTATATAAATTCCACGCCTTTAAGCATGGTAACTTTGGCTTCAAGCACGCTTCATTTACAAGACAGTCAATATTTTCATGATGACCCACCGAAGTTCGAACAGAGTCTACACCGCAGCAGTGGAGTGTGTCAAGAGAAACACAAAGAACGCAAGTGATGGACTCTCCTCACACTCACAGGCGGAAAGGAAGGCAGATGAACACAGCCGCGCGCGCGGACATAGGATTTAGCCTTGGCCTAGGGCAAAGCTACACACGACCAAAAAACAAATATTTAAAAAAATACAAAGAGAGTCGGGGAGACGAGAAAGGGAGGCTGGCTGCGATTCCACCTTTGACCATCGCTATCCATTAATCCTGATTGTGTATCACGCGCGAGGTGGGATGCAGGCGGTGGTATGAGTGGCACAGCGGGCAGTGGTACGCACAGGCCTAGTGTGCTGTTTCGTGACTGGCCGTCTAAATTAAGTTTTCATTTCCTATTCGACCACAAAACAAAAACAAACAAGCGAACCATGGCGGGTGTCTAAATAACAAGTGCACACTTTTGCGGGACCGCTATAGGCCTACTTACAAACAAAGGGAAATAGCACGGGAAATTTTCTAAATGAAAATCTCTGGATTATGCCTACTTCGCACTCAAGCACGCTTAAGCTTTCTCCCGACGACCGTGCTTAAAGCCGGCATGGACTGTAGCACCGCCCCAGGGGGTGGGTGGGTTAGAGAGAGAGAGAGAGAGAGAGAGAGAGAGAGAGAGAGAGAAAGAGAGAGAGGGGGGGAGAGGGAGGGAGGGAGAGAGAGAAAGAAAGAGAGAGGGGGGGGGGGGGGAAGAAGGGAGGACTGAGACAGACCACTCAAACAAAAAGAGGGTGCGACGCAGGTAATTTTTCCCTCATACAAATATCATTCTTGGCCTAATTGTTATCACGTCTGATAGATTACAGTGTACCATGATATAAAGGCCCACAGCCTGCCGATTAATAAACCATAGGTCTACTAAGAAAATAATTACTACGTACAAGAATTGAAAATGTGATAACATCAAGAAGACCATTATCTTTCCATGAACAAACATCCTATTAAAGTTTTTTTTAAAATTTCGTTAGAGTTTTACAGCGCTCACAACTGCATAAGATCATATGAGCATCAGGACACACCAAATATTTTCAGTTGGCAGGAAATTTTGAATCAGAATTTCGCCCGCATGGCGGCCGAAGCCTACTCTTATCGAATTTGGACTACCAAGGGATCTTTAATGTGCGCAACTTGCACACGGAACCTCCAAGATTTTACTCCCTTTCCCCAGAAGGCTAGGTGTTGTAGATCTTACCTACCATAAGATCAGAGTTGTGACTGAAAGACAGCAGTAAGGAACCAAGGAGTAGCAGTAAAAAGAGTCAGGCCCAGAGGAGGGGGACGAAAGCAGATGACAGAACATTGTTAGAGAGCAGGAAATAAGGATGTGAAATAAAATTTTAGAGAAAAAAATTTGCAGTCGCTATCCGGATTCGAATCCGAGACCTACTGAATGAGAGGTGAACACCTTAGCCTTAACATCTAGGCCACAAGAGCCCCCAAAGTTATTCTTCCAACCCATACACAGATTATAGAATTAAAAAGCTGAGAGGGAAAAAATAATTAATCTTAAAAACTCACCGTGAAAGTAGATTTGTCAAAAGACAAGGGCAGCTGCTGCTTCAAATCTGTCAAAGAAAAAAAAAGTGGTTTTTTTTGTGCACACACTGAAAATCGAAGTAACAGTCGAACCTGCCATGATGGCCACCTCTATAAGACCGGCCAATTTCCAACATATGAATATCAATTTGAAACCCAAAGGGTGAACATAGACAGAAATGACAAACATAAACAATGGGTGTACATAGAAAGAAATGACAAACATTTAGATCTAAAGAAAAATAGATTAGTTAGATACATGTGTGTGGGTCTTTTCTTTTTTTTTTAAAAACTAACTATAGATTCTATCTCGATCTCAATAAAACGGAATAGCGGATCAGGATCAAAATACCGGAAATAAGGCATCCCTGGTTGAGTGGTCACAGTTTACCCAGTCCGTAACAAAGTAACAATGGACGTCAATAAGAACTTGTGACAGAAGCGTCCCCCGTTCTCAGAGTGGTGGTGACCCATGTGTTTGTTTTACTATAGCGCTCAGTCTGCCTTGCCTGACACATTTTGTTTTATGTCACCCTAGCACAAGAGCACAAACAAATTTTTCTAAAACCAAAAAAAAACCAACCCCCAGCTAAAGCAAAAACAACTATAACAACAACAACATGGCGACCTCAGAAAGGAAGGGTTTGTTTTCTTCATCGTGAGTGATCAGTCCTGCCTAAGACGGCCACATTTCTCCTTGACAATGAGTGGCCGTCTTACACAGGTTCGACTGTAGATCTATATATTCTATATTGCACATGACAATAAGCCTCTCCCCCCCCCCCCCCCCGCGAAAAACCCCCAAACAAACCCCGATTGGTTCAAAGCACTGAAATTACTACACAATTAGCTGAATTAAGCTAAGTGTGACCTAGATCTAGTTCAATAATTGAAAACAACAAAATGTTTCAAAAACTAGTACCGGTACAGTCGAACCTGCCTTAATGTAATCTCCCCCCCCCCCCCCCCCGGGTATATTCCTCTTTAATTACCTGCAAAAAGTGGAAACCTGTCCCGACGCGGAAACGGAAAGAAAAATCCACTCCCTTCCAAGGGTTTCACCTGTCTAAGACGGAAAATGCTTTGCCAGATCAGCCCTGATTTGAAACAAAACTCGCAAGTTTGGTTCCGCCGGCTCTAAACTTAAGGCCATGGCCATGCCGCTGGGCGAGGAAGGGGAGTAGGGGTGCAGTTTGGGGGTAGATGTTACCCAGTGATGTGAGTCCTGAGCGATGCAGATGGTCAGGGTGATGGTGTAGGTGAGCATTTGCCAAAAGGTGGGATACCTGGGTGTGACAAATGAGGTCCAAAATCAACTTTATGTAATAATTCTTTAATCACCCATATTATATAGCCTAATGATTGCTCTTTCAGGCTCAGTAACTGCCAAAGCTGTATATGCAATGGTTTTGGTGTAATTCTGACTTGAATGACGGAAATAGCAAAAAGTTCGTTCTTAACAATGATGACACAAATTTATGAATACTCAAAGTTCCTTTCTTCAGCTAGGCTGAGGTTATATTTTGAGACATAGCAAATAACTTCCAAAAATACATAGAATTGACAGTTTATAAAATTCTTTATTAATTTTTGATAAAATTACTTTTTTTTATGTCATAATAGTTATGAACGAACAATAAGTGACCAAAATACTATCAATTATGTCAAGTTTCAATGGCTAGAATTGTCTAAAATAACACTCTGGTTTAATTATAGTCAAGTGATAAATGAAAGACCATTTAACAGCTATTTTTAAACGCAAACTGGTCATAGGGCATGTTATGCATAAATTTAAAGTTCGTTCATAACCATTATGACACACTGTTTCGTTCATAACTATTATGACAAATTTTACTTTGGGCCCCTAAAATTTACTTATATTGTTCTGTCTTTCACATAAAATGGTTTTCATTTATGAGACTTTCCTTAAAATATGACAGCTTCCTCTATGTAGGGAGAACTCAAAGTTTATTCACTGAAAAACCCTTAGAATACCTTTAAAATGGTTCGTTCATAACAATTATGACAAACTTCAATTTTGACCTAAAAATGTTTACATTTTGATCTGTCATTCATTTTTAAAAACTTTTATTAAATGAAACTATCCTCATAATATGTATCTCTGTACATGTTTTTAAAGTTTATTAACACTGAAAAGCCCTCAAAATATATAAAATGGACTATAAATAGTTCGTTCATAACCATTACTACAAAAGTATAATACTAATTAAAATCCACACCCATACACTTATGATAAAAATCAAAATATCAAAATGTATGCAAGGTCTATTCTGTCCTTTAGTTGAGTTAAAATTAAAAATACATCCCAAAACAACTGTAAATTACATGGAATAAGGTTTCGTTCATAACCGTTATGACACACTGTTTCGTTCATAACTATTATGACAAATTTTACTTTGGGCCCAAAAATTTAACTTATTGTTCTGTCATTCACATAAAATTGTTTTAATTTATGAGACTCTCCTCAAAATAAGGTTATATGTAGGAAGAATTCAAAGTTTAATCACTGAAAAAGCCTTAGAATACCTTTAATGGTTCGTTCATAACTATTATGACAAACTTCAGTTTTGACCTAAAAATTAATATTTTGAACTTTCATTTACTTAAAATTTTTATATTAAATGAAAGTTTCCTCATAATATGTATCTGTGCACATGTTTTTAATGTTTATCAACTCTGGAAAACCCTCAGAGTACAATATGTAGTTCGTTCATAACCATTACTACAAAACAAAAATACTGATTAAAATACATACCCATACACTTATGATAAAAATCAAAATATCAGAAAGTAAGCAAGGTCTAATACATCCTCAAGTTGGGTTAAAATTAAAAATACATCCCAAAACAACTGTAAATTACATGGAATAAGGTTTCATTCATAACCATTATGACACACTGTCATGTTCATAACATGGTCATGATGACAATCCATTATGACAAGCATATTTTTGCCTCTTGTTCGCTTCTCTTTTGAGTCATCAGCACGATACTCTTCCATGTTCATTCCACCATGTAAAGGGATGTTGTGAAACAGTGGGAAGTCCCTCACATATTTTGCAGAAATATCATAAAGTGTTTGTTCATAATATCATTATGACAAACCTGGATTATCTCAATCAAAGTCATATTTAAGCAAAACCATGAGACGGAGCGGAAAATTACCCTTCTGATGGATCAATGTCAAACCTATGTTTAATACCGGTCATTCCCCGGGATGATATGTGTAACGGTTTGGGTTTTCTAGACCTTGGAAAGTCTGATAATGTAATTATGACACGAGTTATGAACGAACTTATAAATTTTACTCAGCAATAACATCATTAATATAAAAAAATAAAACCCTTTTAATGGACACACGCTGTTATGATGGTGTATACTAATTATTTTCAATGTTTGAAAGCACTACTGTTTGATAGTTTAAGATCTGTATTTAACATACAATTACGTGTGCACTCAGGGTGAGTAAAAAATGCCCTATTTTTAGTATTATTATCTTTCTATGAAGAGATATAAGATGCACACATCAATCTACTTGCTCATGCAGCTTTACCAACTTATTTCCCTGCCATATGCATAAAGTTTTCAGAAGAAAACATATTTTTCCATGAGTAGTGGTTGATTTAAAAAGTCCTCATGCAAACACCCCCACCTTTTGGCAAAAGCTCAGGTGTGAAAACTCACGACTGGCCGTGAGAGTGCTCGAGTAACGAGCCACTATGGAAACTTCCCTGGGTAGTCAGAAGTCAGAGGTGTGAAATTAAGATTGACCAATGCCTGCCGCCCTGATCGTGCGTTCAGCCGAGAAAAGAGTTCCTCGAATTGTCGTTACATGATGGCAGTGAGGGGTGGCACTGGTTGACTGTGCTTGCTACACCTGTGGGTGGGGCTAATGAGCTAATGGTTGAAGCAAAGGAGATGTTCAAACGTTCTAGATCTAGATCTAGATCTAGATCCAGGCTCAAATCAGGGGGGTGGGAACTACCGAAAAAGCGCCCCCCAAAAAAGGTGGGGAGAAAAAGACGAACGAATGCTTGTCTTAGATCTATTCTATACCCCTACCCCTACCCCTCAATTCTGCTGTCTCATACTCTAGATAGACTATAGATCTAGAATCTATCTCTAGATCAGGTTTCATTTGAGTTTAAATTAACTAAAACAGTTACCATCCAGGTTGAATCCCTTCATGGTTGAATAAAACAAGTCTTGCTTTGAAGAACCACGAGATCTGTTAAAATGTCTGCAGAGAAGAAAAGCCGCCGAACTGAAGGTGCTGGCCCAGAAGAAAGATCGCATTTCTTGCGCCAAATTGAATTCTCCGCCAAAGTAGGCCTAGGCCTAGGCGTGACCCTTTCGGGGTCACGGGCTAAACAAGATGATGAATCGATACCACGAAACAATTCATTTATTATCCAAAAACAATGTCAGAAGGAAAGGCAAGGCCGAGGAAAAGCTTCCATTTTACCAAGCCCATATTTCAGCAGATCGACTAGAAAATAGATCTTGTCCCATAACGGATATTGTTTACAGGAGCTCACAATTCTCACATGAAAATTAATTATCACCACCACTCATCACTTGACTAATACTAGAATATCTAGGCCTACCGTCTTTTTGGGTTGAACTGACTAAATCTAGATCTATAATCTAGATCTAATCTAGATCTATATATCTAGATCTAGAATCTAGATCTATCTAGATCTAGATCTAGATATAGAAGTTTAACTCTAGGCCTGGAATCTAGTCTAGATCTAACTCTAGTCTAATTATAATAATATAAAAGTAAAGGCAAGTAAAAGCTTAGCTACGCAGTTTTTCAATGTTTGACTAAAGTAAGCTACATAACTCGACACCATAAGACCTAAACTCCTCCACTTCAAGTAAAATTATTGTTTTGGACGGCAGAAAGACACGACCACAACAAAAACTGAAATATGACGCGGTTTTAAAATTTCGAATGACAAGGGTCCACACAGCAGACAGCAAAAACGTCAAACGAGACTCTTTCGTTATTCGTTAGGCTAGGCCCAGCCAGGCCTAGGTTCTTCTTTTTAGTTTGGCTTCAAAGTACATGTATGTAGGCTAAGTGGTTCCTCAAAAATCTGGAATGGGCCTATATGGAAGGATAAATTATGTTCAACAAGTATAATTTTTTAAAGTGAAAATTGAACCTCCCAAAAATATATAGCATTTTTCTAGATCTAGTCATAAAACTGTAAAATACCATAACTTGATAGCGTTGGTGGATCTCAAATAAATCAAATGAATTCCTGTTTTGGTTCTCCACAATAATTGCATGCAAACATAGAGTCGCGGGAATTAGGTGACCTGGCGAATTTTTAGTGAGAGCTCTCCGGCTCACAAAATCTAAGATCTAACAAAAACAATCGTCAATCATGGCTGCGCCCTTGGTATCGCAAAAATTTCTGACATCATGCTTGAAATCGAAAAATATCTCACACGTATTTGAATGTGTCAAATCTGTACGGAATTTACACAATCCTAGAGGTAGGAACGTTCACACTTGTCGATATTTCTTGCATCTCCGTCGAAATTACAGTAGTAGATCTAGAGATCTAGCTAGGCTAGATTCTATATAAAAATAAAAACAGACGACTAGATATTCTATATCTATATCTACAATCTAGATCTAGATCTAGATCTAGATATCTAGATGTAGATTTCTAGATCTAGATTCTAGAATATAGATCTATAATCTCTAGATGTAGATATAGATATCTAGATCTAGATCTACATACTACATGCATCTATCTATATCTAGATGAGAATAGTGCAGGCGAGTCTTTTGGCTATTCTCACCCGGTGCGCGTTCACCGTTATAGCCTAGATCTAGGCCAACAAATTTTGCGTCCACCCTAAACTTAAACCACAGAATTCTACACTGTGATAACAGAAAAATTGTAGAATTCTGTGCCGTGAACAAACGTTCCATTACAACTGTAGCCTACTAAAAGCGTACAATTTTGTCTGTGGGCAGTGGAGAGAAAGAAAGAGAGAGAGAGGAGTAGCGCGAGAACTTCCGGTCAAAACAAAGTCAAAATGGCGACCCGCATAGTTTGGCTTGATTAGAAAAGTTAAATAGCCGTAGCATCTTTTTTGTAGACAACCAAATTACTTTACTTTTGTGTTTTAACATCATTTTTTAACTTTGTTTTGGTCAATTTGATCGTCCACACCGATAGACAGTATTCAGAAAGAGACAGAGAGAGAGAGAGGGGAGGAGTAGATCTTGCGAGAACTTCCGGGCAAAATAAAATGGCGACCCGCGTAGTTCGGCTCGATTCGAACAGTGAAATAGCCATAGCATCTTTGAAGACGATCAAATTAGCTTACTTTTGTGCTATAACGTAATTTTTTCTTGGCTTTTATCAATTTGATCATCCACACCGATAGACAGTATTCCAAAATGAGGAAAAGCAGGTCTTGTTTCGCACCGGGTGAGAATAGCCTACGCTGGCAAGTCTCACCCGGGGTGAGAGGTAGATCGTTTTTCTATTCTCACCCCGGATGAGAATAGCCACTTCCTTTCTGGATATAGATATAGATATATATCTTATCTAGATCTAGATCTACTAGATGTAGATTCTAGATCTAGATTGTAGTTAGACTAGAATCGGCAACAATTAATTTATTATAGATCTAATCTAGATCTAGATATAGATCTAGATCTAGTAATTAGGGGGTTTCACGCTCGCCTGGCGAGTGGGGATTTCCGCTAAAATCCCGTTTTTTTTCTCTTTCTCGGCTCATAACTTTATTAGATTAGTTCTTAGCCTAGCATCATAAAACTTAAAACCAACATGAAACGAGAGGTCTAGATCTATATATGTGCTTTTTATTGCCATGTTAGTTTCAATGGGGGGAGAAATGTGTAACATTATCGATTTTTGAGTTAAAACTACGATGTTCGTTACGCGTTGCACGCAAAAGCGTGGCACGCAAATTTTGACAAATTTAGAGTGCAGCGCGTTTCGGGCGGTTTATTCGAGCTGAATTTTCGATCGCTAATCGTTGTAGGTGACCTTTGAAATCACGTGATTCTGTTGTAGAATTGGATGCTGAAGAGTTTGCAACCCACCCGGAGTTTGTACGACGCTTGTGTAAAAAGTTATGGTAAAACATACATTTTATCTTCAAAATTCTTTTTTATTAACAATAGAAAACGCTCCCGGGGGACATTATATTGGTAGAAACATCTTTTAGCTCTCTAGAAATGTCATTTTTGTTTAAAATGATTAAAGTTTTGTAGAAGAAAATTGAGCTTTACTACACTACTGTAGTTCACTTCGTAAGGTACAAAAAAAATCACCCGCAGAGCCAGAAGTCAGGGGCAAGTAACTCTGGATTTTTAAAGTAACTGATGTAAACAAACAACTGTCATCAAAGGTATGACTAGTTTTAGTAGTACAAGGGTGACCAAAATTATTACTAACGGCCAAAGATACTTTTTTAAATATTTGAATACTGAATATAAGAAAGTTGAAACTAAAATGAAACTTTCAAAGTCAAAGTATAGTGAAAAATGTGGTGGGATTTGGTCTTCCTCCAATGTGATAAAAAGAGTGAAATCGTATCAATCCAAGAAGGAAAAAGGTTGATTGAAGAAAGCGCAGGTCAAGTACTAGAAAATCTTGATCGATTGGGGAGGGGGGCGGTCCCCGACTCTGTGTGCATTACACTAGCATCTGCGTTTGTCGCGGCCGCGAATCGTATTTTTTGGTCCGCGAATAGCGGCCGAGATTTTCGCATAAGTTTTCAAAAAAGACAAAACAACAAAGCTACTTCAAAACATATTAGAACATGTATTTTGATAAGTTTTAAGATGTCCATGTGTATCTATTTTCATGCGGAGAATATAAAAGTAAATTACATACTATTTATATTGCTGTCTGTCTTTTATTTTTCTCTCTTTGTGTGTTTTAATTGTTGGTGAGTTAATTTTTCTAAAAATTGTTCTGATTATTCGTTTTTCTTTTTTTGCGTTTTTACAGCATAATGTCTTTTAATTTAATGCTGTTCCTACCCTTTTAAAAATATAAATGTGTTATGTTAGAGCGTGTCTCCTCCAAAACCGAATACTGACACTGGCACACCCCAATTGTGTGTGATTCCATAATATAATTTACTTGTGGTATCCTGCAAGCCTACTTTTTCTTGAATTACACACGTTTGGGGTTAAAACAGCCAATCTTCAGGTAGGTGGACTTGCGCCCTAATTAGTTAATTTTTGTGGTTATTTATACATGCTGTTTTAATTTTGATTTCATTCTATTGTGAAACCTTTATTTTCAACGTTTTTACCCTCTTGGTGACAACAAATGATGTTCTGGATGCTCAAAACAGAGCACAAGAGATTGTGGTGCTATAGACAGACCTGCCACTCATCCCGATTTAGTCGGGATATCCCGATTTTTTGCTCCAAATCGCAAGCATCCTGATTTTCCCGATTTCGATCGCGTGTATCCCGATTTTTTGTCCCAGTCTGCTGTTGTGTCGGATTTTTATTAAAACGTACTCTGCCTTATCCTTTATCGCGGGAAGCACCCGTTGAACTTTTTGTCAGTAGGAACTCGGAGCACTATTTCCCGAAATATCGATGCCGCAATTAGTAGTTGACTCGCCCCACGTTGTGTGTGATCTTTGCCCCACTCAGAATTCTCCGATGATAGCCTGGTAACTGTTACAATTTGGGACATACAAATAATCGATAATATTCGTAGTTAGTTCCGCTGCTACTTTCAAAACAAGCCTTGTCCGAGGTCTGGTAACTGTGCGTTCACACCAAACACTCGGACGAGCGACTGTCTTTCTAACCCTTACAACAGAACTACATGTATTTGTAACTGCGCTGACAAGACTAACATACGGCCGATGTCGTTGCTTTAGTCTGAACGCATTATGAGGGATAAGAGATTTGTTGGTACAATTGGTCGGTCGGCCCCTGTTGTTATCCAAGAGTACTAGAAGTGGAACGACTGTCGATCATCTGAGAGTATTGTGTGAACGCGCAGTTAGTCGGACCCGTTAATAAAATTGTTTCAATCACGCATTCGCGTCACGTGACCATTGACGTGACATAGCATCGCCGTGTGAGTTCTGCGTGTAGGGGACCGTCCGTTGTCGGGGTCAACTTAAGTTCATGTATTTCGGGACTTATTGGTTGGGGTGGGGAGGGGGGTATAGACACTTGGACTAGGAGTGCTTGACGTGATGCTTCAGGATTTACAAAAAATAACGATAACTCGCGCGCACGCGCACACGCGCTCACACAAACACACACACACACACACACACGCGCGCGCGCGCGCGCGCAAACAGACAAAGACACTCAGGGGGCATATAGGCCAAGTAATTTATGGACACCCCTGGAAAAATTCTAAGTCAGCTTTGGCAGTCACCTTGGTGATATGCTGTTGATCCCGATTTTTTTCTCCCTGAGATCCTGAATTTGATTTGAGGTTTCATAGAGTGGCAGGTCTGTATAGATTGTTACCTCTATCAACATATTGCTATATTACGTCGTTACAGAGAGTTGAAAGCTTGAAAATTAATGGCAACTTTTTGGACAACTTTTGCCACTTTTTGTGGCAACTTTTGGACAAAAAATGGCAACAAACACAGATGCTAGATTACGCAGTAGTCATTTGGTGCACAGTTAAAAATAAATTGAAAAATCTTGATGATAAGTTCACTTGGCAGCAAGGCAAAGTGAAATAATAATTAGTATTGAGCTCCTCAGAAGAAGGATATTATAAATGACTGTTGCTCCTGCCAAGTTCAGTGGCTCAGAAGCCCATGTTACTTTGAACTTCTGTTGTGAAATGAAAAAACGGAATCTTGTTGTTGACTGAGAATATTGCTGGTCTGGTAATTGGTAATATGGCATGGTATCGTAGGGAGTTTACTTATTATGTACTTTGCTTATTTTTAGCAGCCTCTGTTACCTTTTATACTTATGGTGTCGAGGCGAGAAGCAAACATCTTTCTCTTGATTGTTATGTATGCTTATATTGTTTTTGTTCAATGTTTCTCCTACTGTTCCAGCAGTTGAAAACATCTCTGTGTTGTTGATTTATTATTGTTATTATTCTGCCTTTCCTGCCTTGCTTCTTCGTGTGTGTGTTTTTTTAGTTAATTGAATGTAGGTGGTTTTACACCCCCTTCCTGTCTGTTCGGGCCAACCTAGGCTGAGAGAGATACTACAGTGGAAAGACAGAGATACTATACTGTTAAAAAAAAATCCAAAAAAAAACAACAACCGCAAAATCAAATTGGCCACCATGTATAATCGTACAGCACTGAATAACTGTTGATATAAATGAAGGAAAGAAAATACGTTTTGAAATGTTAGTCATTGCTGTTTATTGATTATCAACAAAATTGAATTGATTTTGAACAATCAATTGGATGCTCCTATCTGTCCGTCCAAGGGCGGCCATTCATACTGGGTGTGGCCTTCTGCTGACTGGAGTACCGCTTGACATCTTCTGGGCATGGAGACGATGAGACGGCGAATGTTGGGGAGTGGTATTGCCCTCCACTCTTCATCCAAGGCGGTAAACAGTTCATCAGGAGTGGCAGGGGCGACAACTCTGTTCCGGAGACGTCTGTCGAAAGCATCCTTAATGTGTTCTATAGCGTTCATATTCGGTGAATTTGAAGGCCATGGGAGTGTCTGGACATTGTTTCTAGCCAGAAAGTCTCTAGTTATCTACTCTGGCAGTATGCGGTCTGGCATTGTCCTCCGGAAGATTGCCCCTGGTTGTTGAAGCAATGGAAGGGCATGTGGTAGGAGAACGTTGTTGATGTAGGCCTGGGCTGCCAGATTACCTTGTACTCTCACCAGGTTGCTCCTGCGAGTGTGGTTGATTGCTCCCCACACTATCACACTGCCACCACCATGCGATAAGGCCTGGGAGGTGCATCTAGTTGCGAACCTCTCATTTCGATGTCGGTAAACTCGATGTCGTCTGTCGGGTCGAGAGATGAGAAAATTGGATTCATCACTAAACCATACGTGCCACCAGTTCTGTAGCTTCCAGTTGACGTGTTGAGTGGCCCATTGTCGTCGCTGTTGGCGATGCCGGTCCGTCAACAATGTCCTTAAACTGAAAGGTCGATATGCGCGGAGCCCTCTTTCTCGGAGTCGGTTGCTTACTGTCTGGTCGGAAATTCTGATGACATTCCGAAGCGCTTGGACCGTTGAAAAGGCAGGCACAAAACGATCCCGCAGGTGATGACGCTGAATAAAGCGATCCTGGGCTCGATTTGTTGCGCTTTGCCGTCCACTTCTCGGTTAATCGGCAGTGGAGTTGGACTGGTGAAACCTTGCTAAAAGTAGACTGTGACACTCTGAAATGTGTGACAACATCAGTTAGACTTTCTCCGGCTTGCAAGCGTCCAATAGCCTGGTTTTGCTCTTCTATCGTTAGTCGTGGCTTGACGTATCGCTGAACTGACAAACCATTTTTTCGGCCATTATAGAGCCGCCCAGTGAATAAACTCACACGCCAAATTTCGTTCGACTACTCACAAGATTAGACAAGTTGTGAGCTTTTCAACACTCAATTATCACACAATTCAACAGTTTAGGCTGTGCCTACCTGTGACTGTGAGTAAACAATGAATGTGTGAAAAAAACTAGCATGCACAAAACCTCATCTTTACATAATTTATTATCACGAAAACACAAGCACTTGGTTAAGCTTTTCATTTTTTGAAGAGTATAGATAACAATTTCCTCCCCTCTTGGGAGTCAACACTAGATCTCCTGCTTATGAAAGCGAAGCTCTTAACCACTGTACCACAGACGCTGGTTCTCTTCCTCTGTATCCATCTATTCTTTGGTTGTATGCTCTTTCACTTTCATTGGATGCATCACTTTTTGCCGATGTAAAGAATGTATACTTTTGCTCAAGACTGTTGGCATTTGGGAATTAGATTCAAAATCACTAAAGTCAGGCACGAATAATATAAATACATCGGGAGATGACACACGTCTTCGACACATCCATAATTCGGGTTAAGGGCTAAAGGTGATGAAGTATTGCAGTCAGGGAATGGCAATTTGTACGAGCTATTCATGATTTTCAGTTTTCAGTGTTCGTGTTTTCCGTGCCCAACTACATTCTTTTTTTCGGGGTGAAATATGATTTTTTAAAAATAAACTGGATTTATTGTTGCTTTTTTTACAGTTCATTAGATGCGCCTAGTCGTGTTGATTAAGAAAATATATACTTTTGTACACTTTTGACTTAAAACATTAATGTTATGTCACTTTTAAGTCAAAATCAGTTGCGCATTTCGTCAATGGCGGCCATATTGGCGGCCATATTTGGTCACATGACTTTGCACATTACGTAATACAATGTTTATCATGTAGGCAATTGCATAACCTTTCTGGAAATGTATGATTATCATATGTTTTACTGGCAACTTTTTCTTTGAACTAAGGAAAACTGTTGCTAAGTTGTCTTTCTCATGCCTAATTTCGCACATTTTTGTGCCATCCTCTTGTCTATATACGTAAGTAATTAATTATCCTCGAAAAATGCCCAAATTCACAACAAAAAACTTGCATAACTTTTGAACCTTTTATCCAATCTTCATGCAGTTTCTTTTTGTTTTTCTCAGCTCCTTTAGCTCTATCTAGTGACATATAGATCTATATTTTTTGGTCAAATTAATCGTTTAAAATTTTTTTCGTGAAACCCCCTAGTAATAGTGTGAGAAGACTGTTAAAATGGCGTCATGTAGACCCCGCAATGACATTGTCAATAGCAGATAGGTACAAATCGTGGTTAAAATAAGAACTCAAAGGTCTCTATTAATGATGATTGATAATGAGTTGGGTGTGTGTTGATTCAACACCATTGAAATTGTTTCTATACGGGAGGGAGGCACCATCAGCCATAGTCATAGCCATAACATTTGGTTTCATATCATCGGTCCTTGACCTTGAGCAGTGACAACAAAACGTGTCACTTTATAGACATAAGGGCATGATATACACTATTAACAGAGACCTTAGAGTACTTATATATTACTGATTATCTCTTACTTGTTGAACTTGTCAAGCTGGCGTATGTGTCGACATCGAATGGCTTTAATCCACTGCCTACACTTTTCGATGTCACAAGGAAAACGATAAACTGGAATTCTGTCTAAAGATTTGTAATTTCCATGCAGAAATGTATTGCTTTCTCCTTCTCCTACAGTAGTCTGTCCGACAGTTGTAGACAGAGTAGTTCCTCCCCATGATGACAAGGTTTGCAGTATTTGCAGCCTATTCTAGAGTAGCCTAGAATCTAGCCCTTCGCCATTGTCAGCAGTATCTGAATGGAAAATCAAAATCACACAAAACAAGCACAGAAACACTCCAATTGTCACATTGTGTCTAGATCTAAAGATAGAATGTCTGGCAGTAGTGTAGATCTAGATGGATCTCTGGATTACATCACAACCACTATCATCATGATTATCATGCACACAGACACAATACCAATGTAAAAATGAGTTTTGAGAAATTTAATCCACAACAGTCTAGTTGAGATTCAGGTTCAAACAATCATATAGATCTAGATCTAGATTTCTAGATCTACACATGTATTAATCCACTGATCACTCTAAAGAGTTAACGTTTTAAGGAGCAATCAAAACAGTGATGCACAAACCACCGTCATTTTGTCATGATTAGGTCGGATGTGATCTCTGATTTAGTAATAGCGTCAAGTGATTATTGTAAGTCGACTCCTAAAAATGCCAAATGATTTATATAGGAAGTCGACTCCCTATAAATCACTTTGTAAAAAGTAAGAAAAGCTTGTTCGTTCAGTTTACCCTGCTGTTGGTGAAATAAATTTTAAATAGTAGACTACCCGCCTATTTCTTGAATAGAAGAAGACAAGATATTTTTGGGACTGAAGGAGGTTGGGGATGCCTGGCGTCAGAGGTGAAATTAGTGAGAAAATTATTAAATCGAATTTCAAGTTTTGGGCTCAACGCCTTTTACTTTTATGTTAATTTATAAACACATTTATGTGTGGATTTTACCGAAAAACAATAAAAGGCACAAAGAGTTATAAATTTGCATTTTCTAAGAACACTCAAGCTTTGGAAGTCACTAAACTTTATGATGGAACAACCTGTATTTCTGTGAACCTCAAAAGATGTTGTAAGCAGTAAAACTTTGGTATAAAACGTAATCCCTTTGGACTCAAGATTTTGGACTTGCAAGTAAGGCTTGGTCGTGGTGTGTTAGCCTGAAAAATCCCGTGGACAGGGGAGGTTACAGAGAAATATTTATATACTTTAGTAATCAATGCACACATTGTGTGTGTGTGTGTGGTGGGGGGGGGGGGGGGGGGGGTTGCAAGCGTCCACTGGCAGCAAAACTTCCACAATATGAAAACCTCACCCTCTCACTCTACCTGATTACTTTGCTTTTCTGAGTGTGGAAAAAGTTGCCTTTTGTCATTTTTCTACATTCTCATAATATAGATCTACATGAGCTTTGCAAACTAACCTTTGTTCGTTAAAATCCTTTGAAAAGTTAATTTTATAGCTTAAAGTACTTTTTATGCAGAGGTAAGTTTTATACACATACATAGCTTTTAAAGAATAAAAATATTGAGTAAATGACAAATGAGACCCAGGACTTCAGAAAGTGAACGTTACAGCCGAGAGTAAGTTTTAAGCGTTGTACTTTATACCAAGTTTCACTTAACCTTTTTTTTTCACGGTTGTTAAAATTTTGGGGGGAGGCATTTTTTATTTGAGATTTTTAAAAGTAAATAATGACAATTTGTAGACTGCCAACTGTCTTTCTGGAGGACTGGATGAATAATGATGGTCAGGTTTGGTTGGATTTATCTTGAAGATCTTTTTGTTGGACCTTATTTGTCTTAATGAAGTTTGACCTCTGCTGTCTTAATGGAAGTTCTTCTCTGATGGGTGTTTTAAGCACCATGGCTTTTGTGACCTTCTTTTTAAAATCTTTCACTCCCACCATTTCTTTATCAGTAGTTTTCTTGTTATCTGCTGTATTTTCTCAATTGGAGTAGACTGCATGGAGCCAGTTATTATGCATCAGGAATTTTATTTTTTTAGGGTTTACTGCTGTTTTCATTTTCACTGTATTTGGGGTAAGCGGGCTCCACTGCAGATCTATATGTTTGTTTTTTTCCCCAGCCTTTCATTGTTTGTTTCTTGGTTTCAGATAATTTGAAGAAATTCTACAGACAAGCGACCATAGCCACCTCAGATGGTATGATCTATGTTTATTTGTTGGCACCTCAATTTGATAGTACAGAGACCAGTAGACTCAAATAGTTTGAACTCATCAGGATCGTGTCATTTTGCTGACGTGATGGGAATTTTAACCAAAAAATTACACCTTTTTTACTACATGAGATTGTAGTATATAATGACAAATTCTTTGAAGAATCAAGGATTCATTTCAGTTTTCTTTAGCTGCTGTTCACACACTTTAATTCTTTACAAAACCTTGATATAGGTTTGAGTGTGGCCAGAGTGTGTAGTGACATATGGCTTCTGATAAGATGGTGTGCAGTATTGCAGTATTGCATGTCTTCTCACTGCTTCTCTTATATAATTCTCTATTTTCTTGAAGCACATTGCCCGCAAACTGTAGGGGGCTTTAGAACCTATGCCCTGTCTGCGAGTCCTTCTCTTGCAATATTTTTTTCAATCTTTAATTATATTGCATCCACCATGTTTAGATTACTAGTTCTGTCATGAGTCTAATGTCTTAGATGAGATTCCCATTCAGCTATGGTATATCAAAGGGCTATATTTTTCGGTACTGCTTAGCTTGATCTTTTATGTCCTGTTCACCCTATTGGGAATACTTTTAGAATAAATCAGCAGAAAATGTTCTGAACTCAGGTCGAGGGGTCCATGTGTTTAAATAATGGTCATTCAAAATTAGCACTCCCCACTATAGGGACAAAAGTGAAATATTCTTCATGTGATTATTTTTATTTTGCAGTGTACTTATTCGGAACATATAATGCTTGAAATGCTTTCATGAAGTGGGCATGAATTCTAATTTTGTGCAGATGGTCAGAGATAGCGCAATTTTCAGGCTATGCTTGATTTGATGTGACCAATTAAATTAAAAGGTAAATTTTGTTTTTTTATTTCTTTTTATTTTATGTCTCTGACAATTCTTTCTCGAATTGGATGCAGACATTAAACACCCTTTTGCTTTTTCTTATGAGAAATCTTCAGTTCTTGAAACACTGAAACGTGAGTTTAATTTCTAAGTTTTACATGTGCTTTTTTTTTCCAGTAGTATATGCTACTTTATATAACTTTTGACTTACTTCATTTTTATGTTTCAAGGATGGTATGAAATCAACTTGGACAAAAGGAAGTTACGGACTCCCCATGGAAACATTTTTCGGGTGCCCAGTGAGCCACTTGCCCTTGCAGTTGCCACAGAATGGAATTCACAAGACAAAGTTATTAACAGACATAACATGCACTTGGTATGTCGATTACTGGAACATGAAAATGAACTCTGCTGTTTGCATCTGTGATCTGTGTGTGTCAGAGCAGGATTTTTGTAATATTTATTATAGTTTTATCCGTATTTTAATGAGTTGTCCTACTATTTTCAGAATAGGTCATATTGAATGATTAATACTTCATACCCCAGTACGATACCTGGTTGAGAGGAAATATAGGAAAAATGGGGGGAATGCTCAGACCTCTAACTTCTGTTAGAATATAATATTATTATGTTTTGTTGAATATTAGGCTGTGATACACTTTTGATGAAAGTTTGGAAGTTCAGCCCCCAGAGGCTATGCTTTTGTCGGTCTTTGCTACTTGATTGTGGGTTGCAGTAAACTGTATAAATGAGGATATGCCTTGCTGATTTTTCTACTGATTCTGTTAGTCAACCGTGCTGTTTAAGTAATGCTGGTTTAAATTATCAGTCTAAATCTCTTAAGACATGAAACATTTTACTGTTACAGATGTAAGAACTTCATTTATATTAACATTTTGGTGTAGGGTTATAACCTTCTTTCTACTACTTTTGGCATTTGTCTTTCTGTAGACATCCTTGTGCAACACAGCGCTGGAAAACCCGTTCCACAGAACAAGGGAACAGCTGACAGAGACTATTATACATTTTCTGGAAACTGACACCATTTGGTATGTTGAAGTAAATCTTCGCTTTGTGTTTGCTTCAGAACATAGACAGAGGTTGACTGGCGTTTGAGCTGTGAAAATTTTTCATTTTTTAAGGGTGATTTAATAGGTTAAGATTTCTGTCATATTGACATTTTTGTCAGAGAGAGATTTGTCAGTCGCCTTTTTTTCTCCTTCAGTTGAAATGAATGTAAACAACTTTCCTATCAAGACTTCAGTCCAGTATTAACTATGGCAATAGGTGAAAGTATCTAATCTGTTGTTTTAACCAACATCTTGTAAACATTGAAAAAATGCTGTCACTCTTTTATGCTGTTAAATATATTTGCAGGGGGGGAAATGTCAAGGTCATTTAGTGTATTTATGGACTGATTGAACCTTTGGGAAATAGATCAAATAACAGTCATAATTTTGAACAATTTGAATGGATACAGTGGAAACCATATATAACAGGCCCGGTAATAACAGGGATCCGGTAATAACAGGGATTTGTTAAATCTCCGTTTTTTCTTTCTCTTTGTCTCTATTAAAAGTTATCAACAATAACAGGGCCCCATCGGAGCCCAACCGGTTATAGCAGGGACAAAGGCTCGTTTACAATGTATAAAAAGTAAGAGAGAGACAGAGACAGAGACAGGGAGACAGAGAAAGACAGAGTAACGCAGTGAGGGAGCAAGCCCACGCAAGCCATTCCATTGCAAGCACACGAAGCGTGTGAAGCGAGAGAGGGCTGAGTTGTGCTGCAGACCTCGATCTAGCCCGAAACCTAGCATAATGTCTCTTGCGCAGGCCTGCCGCATGGCCAAATTTTAATCTGGTCTACACCACACTGTGACTGTTCACTAACAACAGTACATGTGTAGATCTAAGCTTAACGCACTCTTTTTTTTTACTAATATAGAATGAGTATATCATCTCCTGAGAATTCTGACCATCTAACTCTGAGATTTTCTCGAATTATATTTTTCCTTAAAATAGATTGACATGACGAATGGCTACGTCCTATTAAAATCTCGAACAATTTTGACCAACAAGTCTTGTTTTATCAAGAAATTCTAACTGTACATTCCGACTGGTTTCCACGACAGAAGAATTCTAACAGTCTTATCCGTTTAGGTCGCCCGCCATTGTGGATCACGGCGATAACGCATTGCTCCGAAGGAGGCGTTTGATTATGTAAAATCAGAAAAGGCTGCTTTTGTTAAAGGGTTGGTCGACTGTTTCGAGCCTGTGGAGAAAAAGGAGAGAAAAAGCAGAAGATCAGGGTTCATGAAGTACCGTCTGCGGGTGAATGGGGCCAGATTCAAAGTGTGTGAGGCTTTCTTTCTGAGATCTACAGGACTCTGTAACTAGTGGGTTCAATATGTTCTCACATGTGGGTTGGGTGTAGCAGAGGGTTAGGTTCAGTTAAGAGAAAAAGGGCGAGGGAAAAGAATTCAGAATCGAAGGTAATTAAACAGCTTCTTCGTGATCTGCCCAAATTGCCTTCTCACTATTTTCGGATGGACTCCAGTAAGTTATACTTGGATTCTGTTTTCCAGAGCTTACAGTGTATCGCTGTTTGTGCAAAGAAAAGTAGGAGTCGGGGGGGGGGGTTACTTTCTACCTTCAAGTTTAAGGAGGAGTTCAATGCTATGAACCTGTCATTGTTCCATCCTCAAAAAGATAGGTGTGATCTTTGTGTGGGCTGTGGGGAGGGGAATGTGGAAGAAGGGGCAAATAAAAAAAGACAGCAGACAAGTAAAAATGCATGGGCAGCCCCAAAATCAAATGCATCACAATGGACTTGCAGTATAGTTCTATATCCACGCACTAATGCATCTGCTTTGTACTACAAGACGAAATTGCGTGTACACAATTTCACAGTATATAATCTAGAGAGCAAAGACTGTTTGTTATGTCTCAAATTAAAGCGAGGGTGCTCTGACTGCAAATGAATTTGCTCCTTGTGTGGCTGATTTTTTTTCATCTGATTTGACTCCAGGGGAATGTATCATCAAATGTGGCTACATGTATCAGAACCGCAATGTCACAATGAATTCGGCAATGTTACATTTCAGCTGTGTCAATGGTAAGACCGTAACACAGAAATTCCTAGAGAAGGGTCGTACACAGATGGAGGTGGACAGTGCTCACAGCACATCTACTGCCCAGCTGATTATGTCAGGCTGATGGAAAAAAGTAGGAAAGTGAAGCCATATGTTGTCAAGTATTTTTCTTTTCTGATTTCACCAACCCGACCAATCAATTAGACCCTTTCAATACACACTAGATGGTAAAATTAAATACAAACTTGGATTTGATGATGACTGGTCACATCTGCCATTGAAGCGTGGCGAGTCCAGAGACATTCTCCATAAAGACATGAAGGAACTGCTTCTGTACCAGGGTAGAAAGTTCAAACACATACAAGACATGAAATCTGTTGTACCACAATTTCTCTGACAATCTAGAATTGAGTACGTCACCAGTGCACATTTTAAAACCCATGGCTGAGTATAATTTAATTTGCAGTGTATTGTGCTTTGGTTATGTATTTTATTTTTAGCTAGCCAGAGCATTCTAAAGCCTTTTAGTGGTCCTTGGACAACAGGAGAATTAATGCCTGTTGACACTGGATGCTGCTATGGCATACCTCATCTTACTGACTTTCTATGAAAAATTTGTTATTTGGGCCATACATTGGATGGGGATGTATTCTATGAAGTTTAGTTGAGCTTTTTAAAAATCATATTACTTCTACAGTCTTCCAACCTAGTTGAACCATGTTTTTAGCGTTAGAAGCATTTCAATTTCTTCCACTGGAGAATTGATGGGTCGCTTCTAAATCTTGCTCGACTTCTAGTCAAGACCAAGATCAACAAACCAAACAACAATACGAGACCTTTTCTTCGCCAATGATGCTGCTCTTGTTGCTCAGGGTGAATCAACCCTACAAACAATCCTGTTTTTAAGAAGATTGAGACCAAGAGGAAGGTCAAAATTGAGGTACAAAGACACCTGCAAAATCAGCTTTTATCTAAGTTTGGAGTAGATGTTAGCATCTGGGAAGAAATAGCTGAGGACAGGAAAACATGGAGAAAATGATAAAGGAAAAAAGTATCATGCTTGTGACAAGAGAGCAGCCTCAGAAACAACCAGGCTGAGAAGCGCCAACAACGAAAGGAAAACAGTAAAAATACAGAGCTTCCATCTACCTGACATTCAAGCCCTGGGACAGAATCTGCACTTCAAACAGGAATAATTAGCCATAAAAGAAGCTTCATGAATACAACTCATATACGAACATTTTTCTCTGTCCCCCCCCCCCTCTCTCTCTCTCTCTCTCTCTATCTCTCTTTCCGTCTCTCTCTCTCTCTCTCTCTCTCTCTATCTCTCTCTCTCGCCCCCCTCTCTCTCTCAGTCTCTCTCTCTCTTTCTCGCTCTCTCAGTCCCCCCCGTCTCTCTCTCTCTCTCTCTCTCTCTCTTTCTTTCTCTCTCTCTCTCTCTCAGTCCCCCGCCCTTTCTCTCTCTCTCTCCCTCTCTCTGTCTCTCTGTCTCTCTCTCTCTCTCTCTCTCTCTCTCAGTCCCCCGCCCTCTCTCTCTCAGTCCCCCGCCCTCTCTCTCTTTCCCTCTCTCCCTCTCCCTCTCTCTCTCTCTCTCTCTCTCTCTCTCTCTCTCTCTCTCTCTCTCTCTCTCTCTCTCTCTCTGCTATACAAGTACTACATGTATGTAGTACTAATTAGAACTTTTATAGTAGGTTTCCTATTGGATTGACTGCAGGTCAACATTTCGAGTTGTTCGGTAACATTAGCATGTCACAATGACTGAGTTAGACATAACGAAGCACGCGGCGTCCACGCTGGGTTGGAGAATTCTAAACGAACACTTTGTTCATCGACACTTAGATGCTTAGAAATTCACAAGTGAATGGTCTATCCCTGTAATTCTGGTTTAGGTCAAAATAACAAAATTTCGGCAATTTTGATGTAAATACTTAAAAGTAGAATAATTTATTTCAGTCTAAAGCGTTTAAAGGCTGTAGGGCCTATATCTCCTCCTACAAAAAGATGTATTTACAGACCTACCGACGGCATGCTAAGCTGTGTAACTGGCATTACGTAACGTCCAGTCAAATTCTTTCAGACAAAACTATGAACTATGATGACACATTTTTTAAGAATTTGTGATTACAAAATTATTTAAACAGTTTTCTTATTGCTTTAATTTTCAAACATAAGCATGGAGAGCATATAAAATGGTGAGGATCACAGAAGCAAGAAATTCTGAATGCCTTTGTGTTTGCATTTGTGTCATCATAGTTATGTCCAAAAGAAATTAAAAAAACTTTCGATTTTCATATCTTAATTTCTTTTATGAAAATTTGGGCAAACAATGATTCAGAATATTCAGTTTGACTCACAATGCATGTTAATGATGAAAAAAATGCCACTTTATTTACATTTTACTATGAATCTCTGCAAAATATCTACAGTAGTCTCCGCCTAAATGCTTTCGTCATCTGACGGGTTTTTTACTATATAATTTAGAAGTACAAACGCACGGTCACTCCTTCTAAACGCACGCTCCAATCTGCGAAACACGCCGACAAGTTAAGCTTGGCAATGGGAAATTTCCACTACAACCTGCACAGCCTGCATAAGACAAGCCTAGAATTTACTAGAAAATCGGACATTTGGTGAGAGTGCCCCTCACACGTACAATGAGAGTGATGGACAGCGTTTACACACCCTACTTTCCACTGACGCATAGGTCTCGGTCTAGGGCTGGTCAGTTAATGTTGGGGTGGGGGGGATTGGGGAGACTGAAATGTTTTTTGATTGGTCACTGGATATGTATCTTTGAGAGATGGTTTCTGACTGGTGTTTGAGTGACTGCGTGTAATGTTTAGTTCGATATAGGCCTGGTGCCCGACATGCGTAAATGCCGTAAAACACTAGACATGCCTCTATAGGATTAAAGATTAGCCAAGTAAGCCTAATAAGCTGCGCTCGAAGAACTTATAACGTACTTGTTAAGCGAGTCACAAGAGCATATGTTTCTCGAGGATGATTCTGCATGAAGTTATGGTTAGGGGTGGTCGCTTGGAAAGCAACGTGGCTGGTCCGTCGTCTCTATGACTGACCAACAGTTTCCTCTTAGGCTATCTGTTCCCGACACGTTTATAGTGCAAATTCATTACATTGACTTTGCCCCCCCCCCCTCCCCCCGCCCCCATTCAACGCCTTTGTATTCTTAACCCCTGTCGGGGAATCCTTCACAAAACAGTCACGTGTCGTCACTTTATCTGCTAAAAATGACGCCCTCCTCAAAGGGAGATCACGAGAGTAAGAAGGAATTGGGATGACTGCGTCCCTTTCTCCCTTTACTAAGGTTCATGTTAACGCACACTCCATATAAACACACGCTAAGGAGCCCTCCCGAGCACTGTGCGTTTATGCGGAGACTACTGTAATATCTTTCGAACATAACCATGATGACACAAAATGAAAAATACCCTGAAAAGTAATTTACGGAACATTAAATTATTTTAATAGTTTTCTCATTGCTTTAATTTTCAAACATAAGCTTGAAGAGCATATAAAATCTCAGAAAAAAGAAATTCTGAAATCTTTGTGTTCGCATTTGTGTCATCATACTTATGTCCAAAAGAAATGAAAAACTTTCCATTTTCATATTTTAATTCATTTTTTGGAAATTTTGGCAAACAAAGGTTCAGAAGATTCAGTTTGACTCATAATGCATGCTAATGGTGAAAACAATGCCACTTAATTCACATTTTACTATGCTCTATGTAAAATACCAAATATCTTTCTAACATAACCACGATGACCATTAGTGGATAAATGTTTGTAGTCATTTTGGAACATATCATCAATTTAAATGGTGATCCAAAAAGAAAACTACAACTTTTTTTCTAAATATTTCGCTCAAAATTTGTACTAGAAGAATGTTGTAATTTGGAACAGATATAATTCATTCAAAAAGAACTTGTTTTACACAAAATTCACATAGAAGAGACTTATTTTCGAAAACGGAAATGGCTTTTTATAAAAACCACCTGTAAATGAAAAATGCACCTATTTTTAAAATGTAGTAAGGAAAGTCATAAAATGATTCATTTGTTTTTTCCTTTCCTTTTATTTTCAAAATCTAATCTTTCCATCCGTGTAACCTCTAAACGATATTGCTTTTCTCCTACAGAGTTAAAAAATTTTTTTTTTAAATTCTGGAATTCTGAGAACCAATGGTCTATATGTCCTCCTTTGTACCCGACACAGTTTAACGCGTCATTCGTAATGTTTAGTGGTGGCCAAACACAAGGATCCACTCTACCATGAGTACTCAAAGCAACAGGAACACCTTACAGTACGGACCGTTGAGATGTAGGGAAGTCATTGCTGCTGACATCGTCTACGGACAGACGTCTCATGGGGCTCATCTACTGAATTCTGCACCCTGGTGACGTTTAAAGGGCTGCGTACGGTGTGTGATTGAAGTGATTGACCTGAAGTGGTAGTTTTATCTTGGAATTTTTAGTTTTCATTCTCTACAGGTCCTAACAGATGGACTACTTCCAACGTTGATATCAAAGAAGGCCTGAAGGGCACTTTGACATTATTTCCCTACCTTGTGCGAAGCTTACGAAATGAGTTGGTGGTGAGGAAATGTTCAATACAAAAAGCTCTCTTCCCTTTACTAATTTTAACCATGATCTCAACAGGCAAAGGAAACTTGAGAAAAACTATCTGCAAACTTCTGATGGCCTGTTAGACTACTGTAATTTGTAATATGGTGCAATCGTTGGGATTTTTAGTGGTAAACCTAATGCGAACTAGTGCGTCACACTACAAAAATGGCGACAGCTGAAAATGGGTTGGGGGTTTTTTTACGCGCTATGTAGATCAAAACTATTCTGAAGATTTATCTAAAATGAATATCAGACAAATTTCTTTTGACTTCCAAATGTTGTGTACAAATTTGAAATACAAAACTTCGATGAAGAGGAAAATATTAACAAAAAAAGTTGTACGTTCTTTTTGGGATCACCTCTCGTTGACATCTAGCCAAGCGCGCGTGGTTGCATCTAGATCTACCACTACTTGACCTTTGGAACGCAGTGCGATATTAACCATTTCTTGGTTTAAATTTTTTAACATAACATGTTTAGATTTGATGACGACATAACAAAACAAATGGATTCGTCTCATCCATCATTATTTTTCTCGCTGTCTTACACCGCACAACAATACGCTTTGAATTGATCGACAGGAACAATGCACGTTCCTCCGCCCCTATTATTTCTCGTTTTCTTACTGGTTCTTTCGAACATAACAAATGATGACAGCACGAGGCGTCGTGGGATTTCCGTTTTCTGCAAAATTATGTACGGGCACAGCTTCGAAATCAGTCAGGGTAGAGAGTAAAAATTGAACGATATTATGCTCGTTCCAGGGCCCCAAAATGGCCGATAGAAACGAAGTCACGGGCTCAAATATGAAATTTTATTTTGTTCACATTTGTTACTCATGCACATAACATTGTCAATGCAATATACAGTATAACATGAACAGCTCAAATTCGTCAAGACCAGCCTTGGTAGTTCGAGGGATCCATGGTTTGAGGGATATCTTACAAAGATAAAGAAGAGAAGAAAAAATGAGACCGCAGGCACAGTTCGGCGGATGCGTGATTTAGAGTCTTCCGTGCTCGAGCTATGTTATACTGTATTTATTTATTGCAGAGTTTTGAAGGGGAAAGAATATAACAAAATTAGTTGTTTGCAAAGTTGAAATTTGTTTCACCTTTAAAGTTAAAGACAGAAAAATGAAAATTTCGAGAAATAGATACTTTGAAAAAGATCACCTTGTGATATGATCTGCTGAAATGGTTAAAAGGAAAGAAGTACAAAACTAGGATGTAAAACATTATGCAACGAAAACAGACCGTTTAAAATACCAGTGATCATATTCCACCCCCACTAGAATAGAATCCAGTTTTGACCACTTTTCAGTCATTTGACATGCAGTCTAGTTAGGCCTATAACGTTTACTGTTTTTGAGAAGCTGAGTTTCTTTTGTTAATTTGTCTATCCCATATTTAGCAGCAATAGTATTTAATCTTTAATAATTCAGTTACAGACTGACGGAACCTCCAGAGTTAGAGAAAATGGAAAGAGAACAGTGGGATCCCATCTTACAGTGGGCAGCTGACAGGTGAGCTGTGAAGTCTGTTTCACAAGTTGTCAGACTTACAAAGAGGGGTCTGGTATGAATGGTGTATGCAATTTTTCAATTATTTCAATTATGATTTTATATAAAACTTAATGGTGAAAACGGTGTCTCATTTTTTTTGATTTTCAAGAACTCTAAAAATGGATGTTTTTTAAAATTGTATGAAGATTTATAGTCATCCTTATATATATATATGTATATCTGTGATATCAGCTGGGCATTTTTGTCTACAATTGAGTATTGTCCAGATATCTTCATAAAGCCAGATGACATTCCTGTTATGAAAAAGATGATTCAAATAATTTCAAACTTACGAATTGAATTACTTTCCTTATTTTCATTGCAGATATGGTTTAGAGATCACCCCAACTTGCAGTATTGCTCCACCCATAGTCTCTGATGAATCCAAGGAGATCATTCGGCGGCACCTACTCTCTTACAGTGACTGGGCCTTGTTTGGTAATTACTCCTATATATAGAGAGTTTTTCCTGGTAGAATTTAATCCTTTCCTGTTCAATGGAGTTGAAAAGACATGCTGCTAATATCTCTTGTGGGATTTCCTGAATTGTAGGCTTGATTATGAAAAAAAAATTGATCCCTACCATTAGGTTGTAGCCTTGGTTCCATTTCTGGTGAGGAAAGTGCCTCCATCAGAAAAATGAATATATGAGTGCTAGGAGGTTTGAAAGTGCACAAAAAGATGTATAAATAAGCTGCCATTGTTCCAGAAGACTGTGAACAGGAAAATGCTCAGAGTAACCCAACCGTGAACTGACACACTGTGTGTACAGGGGGAGAGAATGCTAACGAGTAAACATTCAAGTATTCAAATTGATGTCAAAGGAATGGAAACCTCTAAGACTTAATTATATAATCCTTTTATGTCATTGTTACTCAAGATTTGGAGAAATCGAGAGATATGCACCCTGTATTTATGGTGCTGAACTCTACTGTTATTCACCGTATTGCTGCTACTGCTGTTGTTATGGACTCGATGACATACAGAGTTATTCCTTTCTGTCCAATCCATGAAACGATTATTTGCTTGTTCTTCTCATATACTTTTTTTTGTTTGGGACGACATTCTCAATGTATAGGCTCAGTAAGAGAACTGAATTACCACATAAGTTTTACTATTTTCTGGTAGTTTGCAATTTATATGGTGTAGGAGACGGTTTTTCTATGACCAGTGCATTGAGTGTGACTTTGTTAAACGAAAAGATAGGACAATGAGCAATTTTGATCAGAGCCATCCCGCAAAGTAACATATTGTCGGAAGGCACCTTTTTATATAGAACTGCAACTGAGGACTTGATGCGTTTTTTTGTATACACCTATAGAGCTGTGTTCATATGGCAATAAACGCTATAAAATGAACTGCAGTATAGTCCGCCTATATCGACAAGCTTTGGAAAGTGGATTTGATGTCGATATATAAAAATGTTGATAGATTAAAATGTAAAGCGAAAGAGAAAAAAACAAGGGGAGGTCAGCAGTAAAAAACAACAGTCCTTTTTTAAGCCTTGATTCTTGAAATTAGCAAGAGGCAGAGGAGAGGGGGGGTTGTGGTTATGGTACCAAAGACCGAGAGGCCCAAGGCGCACACAACACACCAGCGTTAACTTTGTTGTAGCATCCTTGCAAAGCCTGTTTATGGCCGTTTGCTGGGGAAAATGGAAAGGCGAGGCACTGACTCGCTGACCATGGCATTTAACAGTGACAGACTGAGAATGGGATGGGGAAGGGGAGTGAGCGATCAGGAGTGGGGGTAGAGAGGTGATGCCCAGCGCGCGGGACGCTCACGTCTGTGAGGCACTGTATATCTACTGTGTGGGAGACAACACTGTGTAGGCCCTACATGACCTACTAAAGCCCGCTGTGTCGATATAGGCTACTTGGCGGGTATGTGGACTTAATCATGAAGAACTAATGCGGTGACCCTTAGCGTGGCTTTTTCCAACATTTATGTTCGTGGGTTCGCCAGGTACCCAGGAAGCATGTTAATAAAGCAGAGTGGGCCGAAAAAAAAGTCGATGTAAGAGAAATTGTTTGGTGAAGATATTGAAGGAAAAATTGTAATTGGGAAATATGTCGATGTGTCAAAAATGTCGATAAATTGGATGTCAATATAAGTAGATTATACTGCACATTATTATTATTGTTATTGCTTTACAGGTGTATATTTTTGGCGGGAACAGTTGCTTGCAGATACCTACTATATCGTTGTGGTGTGCTTTTCTTGCTGAAAATGTAAAGTGAAAATTGGCATTGTTGGTGAGCTTTTGAGAAGGTGGGGTTGCATGTTAAACCAAGAAAAGAAATAAAACACTTGGATTTGGTGTGACCTTCTTCAAAGAAAAAAGCAATAAAAATCAGCTGTTCAAATTTCTTGTGCCTTTGGTTCAGATGAGAAAGTAATAGCTAAATGGAACATTCTACGAATGGGAGACAGCTTTTCTCAGATTCCATGTTTGATAGGAGGCGAAAGTATGGGCCTTCTTTGTCCATATTACTTTGTTTTTCTTCTTTCTTCTGTTATCCCTTTGAAAATTGTATTTTGCACTGCAGCATATCTTATTGCTTGACCAATTTGCATTGGGTTTTGTTTCATACTGAACGTATACCCCTTTCTACGTACATGGACTGTTTTTGTCTCATCCAGGTTATCACTTTGCTGTGGACTCCATTAAATCTTTGTTGATTATTATGGCTCTTGTTGACAAGCACATCGGTGTGGAAACTGCTGTCGATCTCGCAAGACTGGAACAGTATTTTCAGGTAATTAGAGGGTCTGTCTCACCATTTTACAAGTCTAAGTTCGACTCAAAGTCACAGTGAAGGGATAGAGTCCTCAGCTGCTGAAAATTCAAATTTATCCGGGCTACAAGTATACTCGTAACCAGGACTTGGCAGGGCTACGAGTAACCTCAGAACAGCTATACGGTCACGTCAAACAGCTTGTTCTCCTTGCAATTATCAAAATATGGCGATGGTAGCTCTGTCTGAATATTTCAATTTCCCAGTGAACAGCGGTTTCTTTGTTCTTGATGGGTGTAGAAGCTTGAAAATTGTCTCAAAAACGCACGTTCACGACCGACGAAATACTTCAAGAAGTGGCGCTGGGTTGTGAGGGGGAATTTGATGAAAGTGACTCTGAATCAAGTGCCGTATGTTCTATTGAGGATGATTACGAACATGAATTAGACTAATCTAATAGTGATTCAGATCATGGTGAAGGGACTGGTACTGGAATTCATGCAGTACCGATGGATAGAGGTAGATCTGTAAATCGAAGGGGACATTGTGGGCGTGGGAATATGGGTCAAGTTGGGAGGATGGAATACACCTCAAAATCTACATGGTGCAATTAGTGTCATTCCTAACCGACTTGGACTTCGCCGATGACCTTGCACTGCTCTCTCACACACATGCTCAGATGCAAGAAAAGACCAAGGAACTCAACAGCCTATCAAGGAGTGTTGGCCTACGTATCCAGGCAAGTCAAAAGTAGTGAAGCTAGGAAAAGTTTCAAGCCCTGCTGTGACAGTGGAAGACACTCCCTTGGAAAAAGTGGACTCCTTTACCTACCTCGGAAGTGTCATCGATGGTAAAGGTGGAACCGAGGCAGATGTTGAAGCAAGCAAGCAATTATCAAAAGTCTGGAAAGCAAGCAACATCTCACTGCGCACCAAGATTCGACTCTTTAACTCCAACGTCAAGTCTGTGCTCCTCTACGGCTGCAAAACTTGGAAGACAACGAAGACAGTACTGAATAAAGTCCAGACTTTTATCGACAGATTTATGAGGAGTATTCTAAGAATTAAGTGGCAGGATAGAATAAGAAATGAAGAGCTGTGGAAAAGGACAGGACAAAAGGATATAGAAGTAGAAATAGGACTAAGAAAGTGGCGATGGATGGGACACACCTTAAGAAAGCCCAGCGGAAACATCACAAGACAGTCACTGCAGTGGAACCCACAAGGAGCACGAGGCAGGGGTAGGCCACGGGAAACATGGAGGAGATGAGTGGAAAGGGACATGAGAGAAATGAAGCTGACTTGGAACGAGCTTGGAAGGATGGCTCAGGACAGAGATAAATGGAAGGAGCTTGTATGTGGCCTATAACCCTGCCAGGAGTGAAAGGCATTGATGATGATGATAAACCACATACATTTTCAGATACTACATTCAACGTCTAACATAATGGTAGGCACCATAGAATGAAATTTCAAAGTCCTCTGATTTCATAGTTAACTGCACCATCTTATAGAATTTATTATTCTGAGCATTTTGATACCAAATTTATACATATAGCTTCATTTTAACAAAGTTATGATCATCTGAAGTTGCAGAAAAACGCTATATTTTTTAAATTGCGAATTGTCTGCACTTTGAGATGTCATAACAGTCTTAAATTTGAATGGACGTTCACAAAAACTTGTTAACACACTCCCATGCACATAGAGAAAAAGCCCAATTTTGTTTTCAGGGTTATCATATAACCAGAAGATGGAAATTTATTAACGTAAACATGGCTTTTTGACCGAAATGGCAAGAAATACAAGGGGAGGTTAAAAAAAACACTCGCGACCCCCGGCTTCTCGGCTGCGCGCCGACGGGAAGGAAAAAGAATTTACACGAAACTGGGGCCATGGTGCCCTGCTTGCAAGCTGATGAGGAGTGTCCAGTCTTTATTTGCTTTTAGTGGCTGTGTTATTCTTGAAGAGGAATGAATGGGCTCTCTGCCGATATATTTCCGTAGTCAGTCCGATCACTGGTTCCGTAAAAAAACAGCATCGAAAGTTTTCACACGCAAATCTCCTCTATTAATTCTTTAAGGAGAGTCTTTAGAAATAATCACCGGAAAGAGCGTTTTCTCATCTTGAAATATCGACGAATAAGATTGCTGTATTTTATACCATACGCTCCTCGTTTCTGTTCAACTGAGGTCACTCTAAAAATCACTACACGAAACGTGCGGTCGCTGCAGTGAAAACTCGATAGTGTTGTCTTTCATCCCACAAGATTTTGCTTTCAAAAGAATCGTTGATTCAAATAAATAATACCACTAAAAAGAGGAAAAGCGTCTCTTTTTTCTGATATATCAAGTGTCTGTGTGTATGCATGATCACACGGTGTTTTAGGAGGGTAAAAATATGGGTTTTGTTCTCCGTGACTGTGCGCCACATGGGTGCAAGGCCAGTTTGCGGTACCTAATAATTGCCAAATTTCCTTAAAATCTAAGAGTTATGTAAGAAATACAGGACTTTGAAATATATACCCTGAATTCCAACTCATATGGTGCGGCGGCCCCAGGACAGGCACAGAGTCTATGGGGGGTACAGCCAAAATAGAAAGAGTTAAACTGTTTGGTCATTGTTTGCGAGTTTTTTGCTTTGCTTTCTGCTGTACATTAGTTTGTCATTTCCTAGCTGATACCCCACTATGTTAACATCAGTAGATGAGGATGTGGGAAGAAGAGGAGAGGGTTATTATTTCTCAGTATACACTATGGTTCAAAAGCTGTATTTATGAGCACCTTTTGATATAATTGAAAAGTCACCTCAAGTCTCCGGTATCTGTGGTACAGTGGCTAGACGCTTCGCTGTTGCACCAAGAGACTTGAGTTTGATTCCCGAATGGGCAAAATTTTTATTGAATCTCTTTTTGCTGGGATCTTATATCCCTCTCAGCTCGGGTTGACCTTGACAGGCAAGGTCGGAAGTTCGCCTCCTAAACCATCAAAATTTTATGGATGAGGCATAAAAAACCTTTATATTTAAAAGAAAAAAGATTCAACTTAAGTCATTTCTGTTTTTAGATTAAAAGAGATTCAGACTTTTAGTCGGAACACAATGTACTGTATGATATATGTGTTGCTTTTTGTAAAGCGTTCAGAGGTTTTGTTCTGTGTTTGGGGTTGAGTGCTATAAAAATATCCAAAGTGTTATTACTACCAGTTAAAGAACTATAGCTTGAAACTATGTATCAGGTATTGTGGGTTGTACATTTAAAAAAGGAGAATTGATCAGGTTGAATTGTAAATTCAATATTGTCCATTTCAAGACAAAGGTTTATCTTTTCACATCTAAAATTTATGGATTTTGTTGCTGGTCTATCTTGAATGCTACCACAAAAAAAAAGAAGAATGAAAACTTCTTTTTTTCCCCCTCCTTTCTTAAAGCAACACTTGTCTCTTTTGTCCTCCCCAGACAAGCAGATGGGGCTCTGTGGAGTGGCACCATGATGTAGAGCTGTATGAGCTGCGTTGCCGTCTTTCTGCTGCTGCATTGTTTATTCACTGGTGTAGTGAGAGCTCCACGATCAAACAAAAGGCAGCTCTGGCTCCTGTATAATGATTTCGCTTCAAGTTTGACTTAGTGTTTTTTGTTTGTTTTTTAAAAACTTACACTTGGACGTATAAGAAGAACAGCAAGAGACATCAATAATAACTGGATCGATAAGATTTGAATAGTATGGAACTTGTAACCAATTCAAGAAGTGCATACTAATAATTTCTAGAAGCGTAAGTACTTGCCTTTGGATATGTGTTGATGAGTATGGATGTGTGTTGGCATGTGCTCTGCTCATGTGAAAGGATAGAGATATCTGGGATATCAAGTAGAGTACAGTAGTCTCCGCCTAAACGCACGGTGCTCGGGAGGGCTCCTTAGCGTGTGTTTACACGGAGCGTGCGTTTACATGAACCTTTGCAAGGGGAGGAAGGGATGTGCAGTCATCTCAACTCCTCATTAACTCTAGTGACCTCCCTTGGAGGGAGGGGGTCATTTTTGCAGATAATGTGTTGGCACGTGACTGTTTTGTGAAGGATTCCGCGACTGGGGTTAGGAATACAAAGGCGTGGGAGGGGGGGGGGGGGAGAAAGACAGATTCAATGTAATAAATTATATTATTATGCACTATAAACCTCGGGAACAGATAGCGTAGGAGGAAACTGTTGGCGATAGTCATAGAAACGACAGCCCAGCCTCGTGACTTTCCAAGCGACCACCTCCGACCGTAAATTCACGCAGAGTCATTCTCTACATTCAGAGAAACATTTCTCTTGTGATTCGTTGAACAAGTACGTTATAAGTTCTTCGAGCGCAGCTGATTAGGCTTACTTGTCTAATCTTTTATCCTCTCTAGATCTAGTGTTTTACGGCATTTACGCGTATCGCGCATCAGGCCTAGATCTAACTAAACATTACAAGCAGTCACTCAAACAACAGCCAGAAACCTTCTCTCAAAGATACATTTCCAGTGACCAATCAAAAAACATTTCAGTCCCCCCAATCCCCCCCCCAACATTTCAGCGACCAGACCTAGATCAAGATGTCTATGGAAAGTTGGATGTGAAAACGCTGTCCATCACTCTTTCTTAGGCTTGTCTTATGCAGGTTGTAGTGAAAATTTCCCCTTGTCAAGCTTAATCTGTCAGCGTGTTTCGCAGATCCGAGCGTGCGTTTAGAGGGAGTGACCGTTCGTTTGTACGTCCAAATTATATATAGTAAAAAACCCATCAGATGACGAAAGCGTGCATTTGAGCGGAGCGTGCTTTTGTATGGCGTGCGTTTAGGAGGAGACTACTGTATAAATGTACAATGTGGAAAAGAAGGTATAATGGGTGAGATTCATGGGAAAGACAGGAATGGAGGGGTGAGAAGTTTATGTATGCTTCACATAAATATGAAAGGGATGCAAACATTGTCCATTTCATGTGAAGTCAAGCATTGAAGCTGAAAGTTGATTGTAATTGAAACAGAATTGAACCTCTTTATTCTTTGTACATTCTCAAATAAATAAACAGTAATAAAAATTAATGTAGAGGCTTTTCTTTGTTATTGTTCCTTATTTGTTGCAGGCCTTGGAATGAAAAAAAAAAAGGTTGGTGGGGGGGCATGGAAACTTTGGTTAATATATACATGTGAATACTGCTTTTTAGCAATATCTCCAGAACATTTTCCCATTGTTTCAGATTGTGCATATATATATTACATGGTAAAATAAAAAATGACAAATAAAATTTGCTTCTGAAGCTAATATTTCACAGATAAAAAAAACCCCCCACTGTCCCTATTTGATAGCCACGTAGGAAATCGATTTATAATAGTGGCAAAAAGCATCCAGAAACGGCAAAAATTTGACCGAAACATCTGTTGTTCGGTTTAACATTGGGAAAAGGTATTTAAATTGAAATATATGTCAACGTAATGAATAATGTCAAACCTTCTAATCTTCTCTTTTTAAATAATCCCAACCCTTCTAATTTTATCTTTTTAAACAATCCCAACCCTTCTAATTTAGTCTTTTTATTTTTGTTGAAGCCTAGAATGCGAAAGTGCTTGCAGTAAGAAGACGAAAGAGCTTTTTAAGGGGTATTGCAGGGTTGAAAACAGTCGATTTTGGGCCAAATTATCAATTTTGAGATTTTGATCTCATATATGAAAGTTTAATCATTTTTCTATCCAACGATGTATGACAGAAAGCTGTCTTAGAAATATCTAAATATCCATTTGTAAGCACCTCCCCGCCTTCTTAAAACGACAAATATGTAACTCATTTTCTCTCAATGTGACACTTTTTTGCGCTCGAGAGCAATGGCTAGCTGTATTCGAAACCCATTATGTTTGGTATCAATACTTCTGAGGCTTTTAATTGTTAGGGAAGGTTAGTACCTTTTACTTTTGATGTTACTAGCAGCATGCAAGAACTGTTTTCATCGTATATTAACAAGAAAAAACTTCAGCTGTTTCTCAAAATAGCAATTTTCAATGTATAACCCAATTTATTTTCTTTAAAATGTTCCATGTTTTTCAACATACAGACTTGAAATTTGGCCTACAGGTAGTTTATTCAAAACTACAAACAGCTGACTAGTTTTTATGATGATAGCTACTCATGCTTTCGTGTTACTAGTGTTAGGGGCTTTCTTCCTCAATGACCCCCTAAATTTTTCACTCTTTTTGGACAAGCTCGCTTTGGAGACCTGTGAACTGATTACTTATGGTCCTATCCATATGAAAACTAGCTAGCTGTAAAATGTCATGTCTTTTCTCCCTTTGCCTTTTAGAAAAATCGTCTAGTTTTGAAATGTTTAAGAAAATAAAATCGTCGACAAAATTCAAGATTGCCGCCATTTCCATGGTAACCGATGAATTTATGAATTGTTTGAAGGTGTATCAACATATGTAACAATACTAGCTTCACAGGTTCTCTGGCTAAAAAGTTGGTCAGCAAGGTAGCGAAACCCCTTAATCTGAAGGTTTTGAAATGTCCACAAAATGTAAAATGATCCTAAGCTTTCTCTTCAGCTGTCCCAGCAGCTTCTGTGATCTCTTAAGCTTCCCCTGGTGCAGATTTCCCTTGCTCATCCTCACGACTTGCTTTTTCAGTAATAGTAGACTGTACTTCCTCTTGGACCTTGGTCATACCATAATAGGGGTCCTGAGCTTGCTTCTGTTCTGACAACTTCCTTTCCAGTAGAACCAAGGAATTACGGCTTTGAACTTCATTTCTGAACACAACTTTGCTTTTAGAAATTTCCTGTGGATTAGAATGTAGGTTGTTTGAGTAAAACAGAGGATCATCAACACAATTAGTGCGTTCATCTTGTTCATGGAAGAAATAGGATGACAGGAAGACATGACAATCATTGACAAAAGGGTAGAAAAGAAGTAAGACTTGCCGGGGCAAAGTTAAAATGTTTGGGGAGGTGGTGCTTCACAAAAAAATATTGCATTGATGATGGTGAGGGTGCTTATGTGGCATTAAAAAGTATACATTTGCTATGAACATCGTGTGTCTGCTACTAAATAAAAATAAGACCCTTTTAAAGGGCAAAAACTCTGTCATCTTTTGGTCAATACCAACAAAATTTTGAAGAAAAGTAATTCAACCTAGGGGAACGTTACCTTTGCCAATATGAAAAAAAATCAAACAGCGTGTTAAAAAAAAATATAAATCTTTTATTTTACTTTTAAAATTTCAACCAAAACTGAATGAAATGCCAAACTTTGCAATTTCAAAAAAATCGATAATATTGTTCTAATTCAAATAGTCACTATTAATGCATTGACGGCAATTTATGAGAAATTGATATGGCCAAAAAAACTCAAGAGTTGGTTATTTATATCTCTAGGTGTTCACCATTTCTCTCCATACAAGCCCAATGTGGAAATTTAGAACCTTGTGGCATGTTCTGGATCGATTCTTTGGATGTCCTGTTCAACATTGAGTTTTATTGATTGTCCGATTGTTTGAGGTTTGTTTCCATTGACAGTCTGACAAAAACCCCATGTAATAATTGAAGGAGGCTCAACTTGAAAGGAGGGTGGGGGGGAAGGACTGATGAACGTTCATTTGTGAAATTTTGGCTTGTAAGTCGTTCCCGAAACATTTCTTGCAACCATACGCCGGCCATTCTTGACATTTGGGGTGCGCCCCATCCCAGCGGAACCCCAAAATTCTCAACTTTCTCAACGTGGTAAGATACCCATCTTACGTGACTGTTGTAGTTTTAACGCCACTATCCTGAGAACAGGCCCATCACTCCCCTGTTCCTGTAGCTAAATGTTTTTCAGAAGTGAAATTTTGTGTCGTACCCAATTTTGGTTGAAATTTTAAAAACTTGATATATCTTGAAAGCACCGCTTGATTTTCTTCATTTACAAACTTGACATCACCCTGGTTGACATCACTCTATCATTTGAAGTTTTGTTGAAATTATTCGAATTATTGCCCTTTGAGCGGGTCCTTTTTTTTTTTAGACACCCCGTATGTAATTCTCATGTTCTTCACTTATTCTCTCAACATTGGCTTTTTCATTTCTGCAGTGCACTGATGATTTATCCCTTACTTATTTCTAGTGCTGTCTGTTGCTTCTAAAAAACGATGTACCTGGAAGGAAAATAACAGTCTAATAGTACAATAGAGTGACTGAATATAATTAAAGGGATATCTCTTGTTTCTGGTTTCTTCTACCTATTTTTTTTCTTTATTTGCACTTTCCTGATTTTGTCACAGGTGTTTTGATACTTTCAGGACATACATCACTAATGTGAAGGACCTTTATAAAATTTATAATTCTTTTCAATCTACAATGATAACTAATTAATATCTGATGTAAATTAATTAAGGTTAAAATTTGTATTTTATGAAAGAAAAGAAAGTAAGAAACTGAAGTAATACTGAAAGAAAACCTGGCAGAGCGAAAGAACAATTCAATTTCAATGATACACAGCAAAGATAGATTCAGACTGCAATGTGAAGGCAATTCCACAAATTCAAAAGAAGAAGAAAATGGACAACATCGTACAAAACGGAAGGGAAACATAACATTGAACCTCGCATCCAGCAAATTTTACTTTTCCAAAATGAGCATTTTAAATAGATAGTTGTATATGATGGTTGCAGCCCTCAATGTTTCAGATTACAATGCCATTTTCATCCTTTTCAAACTACTGTCGTCTGATTCAAATGCAATTTAGCATTTAAAAGAAAGATTTTCTTTTGCTAGGAGGCCTCTTATTGAACACATAAAATGACAGTGACAGAGTCTCTGATAGGCTGTCACGCAAGGCAAATGAAAGGAGGCTGATTTTTAGGTGCTTTATCTTGGTGTTTTATTGGTAGGTTCTTTTGTCTTGATAGTTGAGCTGTATTTGATGAAGAAGAAAAATGCACTGATTACGACTGCAAGCTATTCTGCTGGTCCAAGGTTTTCCATGTAAGTTTGTAAGGATTTTTTCAATATGAGCTGCATAGTTGATTTTAAGGACAAGGAAAAAAATGGCAGTTTTTTGTCCCTTCATTTAGCAAGAGGTTTTATTGACTATATCACACAGAATTCTACGCTTATAGAACGGGAACTGTACCACGTGACCTGTGAGGAATTGAAGACCGAAAACAATGGCGTCTTGAGGGCACGATTTATCGTTTTCGAAAGTAACCCTATAGCTTTTAAAGCAAGAGCGGCTTTTACAAACGAGTGAAAAGTGGAACGTTTACTGTCCAGTTTGTAATTTTGAGTTACAGAATTCACTGTGCAACCTGTGTGTAGAATTCTGTGATATATCAGTAGATGCAAGGTTCACTGTGTTTGAAAATGATATGCCCAACCAAAACGAGTACCAACCGTTGTCTCTGCCGATAAAGAGCATTGAAAGGAAAATATATTAAACATGAACATGTCTTTTTTCACCTCTGTAGAAGAAATAATGTCTGCCTGCCTGCCTGCATGTCTGTCTATCTTTCTGACAGTAGTGACAGTCAGTCTCGCTGGTTTTCACTTTAAGTACATGTATTAAATAACTTCTCTCTCTCTCTCTCTCTCTCTCTCTCTCTCTCTCTCTCTCTCTCTCTCTCTCTCTCCCCCCTCTTCCTCCCCCCCCCAACACACTCCACCTTCACAAATAACAATTGATACTGTAAAAAAAAATGGACGCAGAGAGTTTCATATAAAATGTTAACTGTGAAAGCATATGTACATGACATGTAAGTCCTCATATCACATCTCCTTTTTGCCTCCTTCTTTGTCCCCTCTAAGCTCTTCATCATAGCCCCAAAGACTCATTTCAAGGAATTTTTTGATTATGTAACACCCACTTACATTAAGTTACATTCTAGCCAGTCAAAATGATGGTTAAGTCTCCAAGAACAAAGATTTAAATTGCCCAAACAAAAGGATTTCCCATATTATATTCATATAACAGATGACAATTTATAGATAGCTCTGAAAATGAAGTTTTAGTTTTGTGAAAGAGTTGCTTTTAATGGTCATTTTTAAGCCTCATTTTCTGCAACTTGAGTCTCATTTTGACTGCTTTATAGATATCCTCTAGATCATGCTGGTATGATCATAAGGTGTGATCAAGCATCGCTATTATCCTTTAATATTTTAATTTAAGTGATCATGATGGACGAGTGTTGAGAGGAAATCAAAACATCAGAGAGCATTTAATTTGAGCATTTTACCCTTCAGAATGTATTTAAACTTCCATTCATATACTATATGCAAGTTCAGTAGATAATGCAGGTACAGACATGGGAAGACTGTTCATTACTAATATGTTTTAAAAAAATAAGATTTGGAAGACGTATTTCATGTGAAAAGGTAGAATGTGCAAATAAAAATTACACTGTATTCAAATCAAGAGTTTGCTGATCTGGAATCAAGGTGTCTTAACTTGCAAAGTTAGAGCATGCTTAAAAATTAAGTCACTTCTTTTCCTTATCAGACAGGGCCCATTACATTCAATGAGCATGATTAATGATGAGGCTGGATAAGTTAAAAACATGCAAATTTAATGAGAGTGAAAGAATTATGGCACTGACTTAAATGAGTCTCATAAGAAACTTCAGTGATGAACCTACAGAGTGATAAAAAAAACAACTGTACAACTTTTTAAAAATATTCTCGCCCAAAAATTGTTGTAGAATGCTGTAATTTGGAACAGACATTATACATTCAAAAGGAATTTGTTTGACATAAAATCCACAAAGAAGAAACTTGTTTTGAAAACGGAAATGACTTAAAAGAAAAAGCACCCAAAAACTCAAAGTTCACTGATTTTTAAAAATCTTGTAAAGCAAGTTGTGAAAATATCGGTTCACTTTTTTCTTTATTTTCTCTTTGACATTTAATTTTCCATCCCTGTGACATTTAAACAATATTTAATTTCTTTTACATAGTTTTTAAAAACTAATGATTTCATTCTGAAATTCCTAAAAGCAGTGCTCTACGTGCCCTCCTTTGGACTCGACACATTTTTAACTTTAACGCGTCGTTCGAAATGTTCAATGGCACCCAAACTCAAGGATCTGCTAAACCATGAGTAGTTTAAAGCCACATGCACCATACATTTTCAGTATGAAATGGCTTCTAAAAAAGAGACAATAGGGAGTGGGGTGCCCAATAGACAGCATTTTTGGAGTTAACATATCCCATCCCGCAGGGTGAAAATAGGCTTTGCACTAAGCCAAATGTCATAGAAGAAATGATCCCGCTTTTCAAGACAATCGAGGAATCATGAACACATGCCATGCTCTGGTCTATGTCATCTCGGCCTTGCGAAGATGAAAATGATACAGTCATAGGTTAAGATCTGCCGATAGAATGCAGTCTGTTGAGGTGTAGGAAAGTCCTAGCTGCAGATCGTCTACGCACAGATGTCTCACGGGGACTCAACTACTGAAATCTGCACCAGGTGATGTTTAAAGGGTTGTGCATGGTGTGTGTTCGATCAGAAGTGGTCATTTTAAAGGAAATATTTAGTTCTGATTCGCTATAGATCCAAACTGATAGAACTTCTTAACTCACGACGCCAAAGGTCTTGCGGGCACCTACACGTTTCTCCATGCCGCGAGCAGAACTTACGAAATGTCAAAGACAGTGAGTTTGTGGAGAGGTAATGTTCAATACAAAAAGCTCTCTGCTCTTTACTAAATGTAACCATGATCTCAGCAGGCAAATAAAATTTGGGCAAAATAATATCTGCACACCTCTATTGACTTGTGTAGGCTGCTGTAGCTGACAATATGGCGCGATTGTTGCAACTTTGGGTGGTAGGCCTAAAACGAACTGGTGTGTCATGCTATGAAAATGGCAACAAGATTGAAAATGGGTTGTTTTTTTATGCGCCATATAGAGCAAAACCATTCAATGGGACATATCTAAAATGAATATCAAACAAATTCCTTTTGGCTTCCGAATGTTAAGTTCAAATCTGAAACGCCAAACTTCAAGTACAGTTGTACAGGGTTTTTTTTGGATCACCCTGTATATAGTGAAGAAATGAAGTGGAGCACAGTTGACTTTGGAAATCAAAATGAAAAAAAAACAGAGCAGGTAATTGGGAGATAAAGAATCATAGAAGATGTTATGTGTATTTCAGTTTGTGTGACCAGCTTGCTACAGATATTTCAAAATGAAATCGATCCATACCAGATAAAAAATAATGCAAATTTGACTAAATAAAAAGAATAGAAAACAGAGTGGTTGGTTGAAAACATGAAATTGCTTATAGCCTTAGAAACATAATTTGTATCAGGTCTCAATGAGATATCTGCAAATGTTGAAAGATGACAATTTTAAAACTAGTCTAGCATGCACATAATGAAATTGGCGGGACATGGAAATCTTTTCATTATAATATATATGAAAGGCACAAGGAAAAACCCAGCAATGTCAGGTTTTTTTCGTTTTCTCGGATATTGTCCAAGCATGATGCCTGGCCGGGTCTGCTTCAGTCTATCTCTAAGTCACATAGATGGAAAAACCCGGTGCTGCCAGTCTCTGTAAGGGTTAGAAAATATAGCCCACAATGGAAGAACCAGCGATGTCAGGATGTCGACAACGGAAAACTCAGTGATGTCAAGCATATACATGTTTCATTGTTGCGTCACTAGTGACAAAACAGTGACCATGTTTCAGTGAAAGTTGGTGAAATGGTATAGGTTCAACTCCCCTGTCAACACTATTAGGTTATTTAAGAGGCGGGACCTCAGAGTTTAACGTCCATCCCGAAAGGACTGAGCCAAATAAGAACAAGGACATAATGTCGGACCGAGCTGAGGCTCGAACTCCCGCAATGGTCTTATATGCGCTGCTAAATCAGAAAACCATTCATCAAGAACCCATGTTACTTGCGGCCCAAGCATCTCAGCAAACGACTTAACTTGTACAATCGTTGGCCGATACCTTTCTTCTCCTTTAATATATCTACTCTCTAAGTGGTGAAACAGTACACATGTACTGTTACAAAACAGTCAGCAAAAAGGGTGGAGATGATGTGGCCAGCATGCTGCTACATTACTTTCTGCACATTCTGCCAACTGATGAGAGTCATGTGCAGGCCAGAACAAGCAAGAACTGGAAGTGTGATCTGGTGTCTCTATCATGTTTTTGTCCTCCAGGAAAAGTAGAAAAAAAGTGAAAATCTCGTTTCCAGTGAGAGGCCATAGCTACATGGAATGCAAAAGAGACATGGCAGTAGTGAATGAGAGGGTCAGATAATCTCGCCAGTTGGGTGGAACAATTCAAGCAAGCCTTTCGGAAACCCTCGCTGCTCCAGACATTGGGGATGCCACAAGCCGTATTCCAGAATGCGTCAGAAAACCTTAAACCGTACTGCTGTGTCTCCTGCCCTATACCCTCTCGACCTCTTCTAGAAATCTGTATCTTATAGTCATAGGCCCATCCACAGCTAATGCAGTATAGAGAGAGCTGGAATGGTCCTTTCAAACCGCGATCATTATGAAGCCGGTGGAAAAGAAACCCCTCTATAAGAGCCCACTGACCATCAAAGCTGCCAAATATGCAGACATGAAGGTCTTTAAACACCTTAAGGTGTTCTGGCCCAACAGCTTTTCTCTGAATTGTCCCATTCTGGAGGACCAAGTGCCGCTCAAGAGTCTGATGACTCAGAGAGTTGTCATTCAAAAATGAATATTAAATAAAATAGACATCAACATATGTATTATAAATATCACCAAATTGAGTGCAATCTTCTTACTCAAATCATTTAGTTTTGTTTGTATTCATTCACAAAAGAGTAAATAAACTCATAATTCATTGACTTCCTAGAAGATGGAGATCTTGCCTATAGCTTACAAGCTTACAACGATGTCAGTTTGCTACACAATTTTTCTTTTTTGCTCTCACTGAAACATCCATAACACGAGGACAGTGACAATTTTTTATTTTCAACACAAATGGTCATACTTGAAGTTAGTGTAAACAGTGGAGAAATCATGGTAGCAGAAAAAGAGTTATAAGTCTTTAAAGTTTGTTTTTCAATTATCTTGGAATTGCACAAACCTGACTGCTGGTTTTTCCCTTGTGGCCTTCACATAAAACGAATTTAAAGCTATATCAAAATATCTGAACAAAGTAGGACAATTGGGTCAAAATCTTACAACATATATGCTCCTATGCCATGCTAACATGTATGTTGGGTTCATAGCTGCTTACATTTGCAGATTTGGGTTTTCGACAATGATTTTTTATTCACCTCTGCCAGGATCAGCCTTTTTATTTCTACCGAGAAGCCTTTCCATCTTTTCTGCTTTGCCATGGTCAACTCTACACTACAACTTCACCTTGACCACTGTGACGACGGGACCATTTATAAATGTCTTGACGTTACCACAGACTCCCCACATGCAACTGAAGCATGCAGGCTACTATATATCTCAGCACCAGTGAACATTTTTGTGACATATGTCATGAGCAATGAACACGTCCTTGATCTACACTAATGTCCTTGTCTTATAGCAAGATCGTAGGCCATACTGGGTCTGCTCTCTCTTTTTCTTATCATGGCTGCTTTCGTAAACAAAATTTGAGACTGTGTTTAATTAGAACTGCCCTAAATGATGCCATTTTGTTGTGTACAAACGGCCACTCTCCATTTTCCCCCTTGCATTATGTCATAAATTATGCGTTGGCCCCTGATGTTGCAGAAAAACCATCATAATTCATTCACCTATCATTATTGTTAGTACCCCCAGTGAATGAACTGATCAAGATGGATAGGTCCCTCCTACTCAACTGTTTACTCAAGTGACCATTTGGTAACAATAAATTTTCAGAAAAATTCTGAAATTATGCAAAACTGAGCCCAAAAATGTGAAATTATGCCATTCTGTTAATTTTAACAAAGAATGATAAAGGAAAATAATCAGAAATTATGCAAAAAAAATGATCAAATTTTGCTAAATTATTCGGGGTGCATAAAACCACGGGGACAGAAATAAGCCCCGCCTACAATTAAAACACAAATTGCAAGTGAGATGAGCGGTCGCTGTTTATTCAGTCTATAACAATGGACGTCAACATAAACTTGCAACAGAAGCGTCCCTCATTTCCAAGTGGTGGCAACCCATTTTATTTATTTTACCTTGACACTCAGTCTTCCTCATCTGACAGATTTCATTTTTGTTTTACCCTTGCATACTGTCTTCCTCATTAGATACACTTCGTAGAATGTAACATTTACAGCAGTCGCGAGACTACATCTCTCTTTGTAAACAAAAATGTTTTAGATAAATCCAGTCTATGATGGCAGCATAAAATAATGTAGAAATGTAACCCATGTCTAAAGCCTGCAACCTTTCCAGCTGGGAACTCCGAAGGGAATCTTATGGCAGCCCGCCTAGGCCTGTGCGGGTTGGGACCCCAGAAGGGAATGGTTTGTTTTCATCATTTTCATCAGTCCTGCCTTGGGGACTCTCATTCAGAATCAATAGGTCTTGGGTTTGAATCAGGATAGCGACGGAAAATTTTCTTCTTTAAAATGTTCTCCTTTCACATCCTTTCCTGCTCTCTAACAATGTTCTGTCGTCTGCTTTCGTCTTCACTTTCTGCCCCCAACCCCTCACCTTCTTTGCCACCTCTTCTGGGCTCTGACTCTTTCTGCAGCCTTGCTACTGTTTCTCCTTGGCTCCTTCTTACTGCTGTCTTTCAGCCACAACCCTGATCTTATGGAAGGAAAGATCTACACCTAGCCTTCTTGGACAAAGGCGAAAAGTCTCAGAGGTCATGTGTACAAATTGCGCACGTTAAAAATCCCTTTATGGTCCAAAATCGATAAAAGTATGCTGCAACCCCCTCCCGGGCAAAGTTCAAAATTTCCTACCCACTGAAAATGTTTCTTGAGTCCCACGCCCTCATCATATGACCTTATGCAGTTGCAAGCGCCATAAAACACTTACAAAAAACCAGAACAAAAAAGTCCTGCCTAAGATGGCCACCTGTTTGAGACGGCTACTTTTCTCCTCGACAATGGATGGCCATCTAACACAGATTTAACTGTATAACAAAAAAAATTGGGGACCAGAAAATCTGTTCACTATGTGCATTTTCTGCCATGTGCATGTTCACTATGTGCGTGCTAGAGAGTACCACAGGTTTCATTTATTTGAAAACGCAAGAAAGAAATTAGATTATTGTACAAATGAGCTGATTAGCAGTCATCTTCCCTTTCACAAGAGGTAGGTACAAAATAAGAATTTCTATGCTTTATTGTGCAATTCAACAAAATACGTTTATTGTTGCCCTTATTAAAAACAAGGATTTATTGCTAAAGTATTTTGAAGACAATAATTAGTTTAAGCAAAAACATAGCTGTAGTTTGTGCCCTTTTCTGATGGCGATTAGCTTTAATTAACTGCCTTGACATATGGAATGATTTGAAGTTTTAGCATTTTTAATTATTATTTTACTTCCTGAAAGTTAAGAAAAGTTCTGCTTTATAAATTCAAACCAAAAGGAAAGTATAAGTAAATCTGAATTTTAAAAAGTAATCAGAGATGCTCACAGTGCAAGGGAAAGGTTTTTCTCAGTTTACCAAAGATAGGGATAGGATCTTAAAAAACAGAAGGCATGAGAGGAATGGACCAGTCAATCTCAAAAGATCGGAAGAAAGAAGAAAAATATCTTGATATATGGGGTGCAAAAGAGAACCAGCTGCCCAGGAAAAAAGGACAAACAATAAACAGTAGCTTATACCTACCTTCATCATCTGTGAGGTAAAAATGAATATTCAAAATATGAAAAATCGGATGGCAACACAATGACAAGTATTTTAGGATTAATTAATCGAAAGTGATTTCTATGCAAAGAACTTTTTACTTAGGTACCGCTAGTTTGGTAGCTTTTGATGATGCTTTTTTTCTGGCAAAGTGGACAAAAAGAAGTGCTTCCTTTGCATGACAGCTATGTTCAAGTTTGCCAGCTTATAATACCATGCAGTGTAGTTCAATCAAGGAAAAAATTACCAATGAAATCAGTTGCATAAAGAGATATTTCCCTAAATGTTTACTACAGTGGAGCAGACATAAATTTCAGTCAACATAGGCCTATTCTCTTTCTTTTTGTCGTATGTTTTTTCATCTTATGCCTATCCTGTAAATAAGACACACAGAACTTTTAGTCAAAGGGTGTACTTTTATTGAGTGTATGTCGCATTTCAGTTCATATCCTGCTTTAGTTGCAATGTGTGAAAAGGTGATACACAGTTTTGCTTTAGATAAAGAAACAAACAAAGCAGTGCCAAAACTTGCACACTGGAGAGCAGTGGTTGAACACTTGTGGTTTTTTCTTTTGAGTATTTCACAAATAGATATGCATCTTTTGAATTTTGTGACAATTAATTTAAAACCGAGGAATAACATTTTTCCCCTTTGATTGATTATATATATTTTTTAAAATTATATAAAGCATAAAGAATTTTGAGCACAGGATATGGTTCTCTCCTATGCATATTATTTCTCCAGCAGTGAAAATCACCATCCATTCAGAAGCCTTTACTTGAGCTTTATTTGGCAGCGATAAGTGTGTTCATTCTAAGTGAAAATGGGAATTTGCAATTTAACACTTTGCGGCCACTTGACGCAATAATGTGATGGTAAAAATTATCCTTTCCGGTCACCTGGCGCAGTTCTGCGCCAGGCCCGAGAAGTCTGTTGCCGTTACTCTCCTTGCTGGGTGACCAGATAGGGTATTTTGTACTGCTGGCTGTGTGACTGCAAAGCGTTAAAGAGAGAAAGAAAGAGTGAGAGAATGTGGGTATGTGTGTGTAAGGAGAGAGAAAGAGAGAGAGAGTGTGAATTTGAAGAAAAGGATGATGATGCATAACTTTGTATTTTTGGAGAGTGGGTCACTACAAGTATTTCATTTGGGTGTGACTGTAAACTCTGTAAAACATCTGAAACTACACTGGGAAGAACTCTATTTTGATTTATTTTTATCATCAATATGGTTATTATCATCATTATTTATAAAACATGTACTAATAGACAATGGCCAGACAAAAGAAACCTTGGAATCTGTTGACTTGTAAGTCCGCTTTAGTCAAAAACAGCACAGCACCCTATTCTCGTTGAAGCCACAACATTGGAGCAAATATATTTGCCTCAGGAGTACATTCACTCACCTTGAACAATGTCCAAGCTATCAATTTCTTCTCTCAAGTGATCAATCAAGTGATTGATTTCTGTGACTCGGGTTCTGTTCCTTTGGATTTCTTCCTCTTGGTGGATAGTGTCCATCATACCCTTGAGCCAGTTATTTATCCTGGTCACTATGTCATCCTCTTTGTTGTCAATCTTCAGGAGGTGGACATCATGAGAGGTAGTGACCGCGTTTTGGACTGTATCCTTGTCCACCAATAGCTAAAAAAAGAAAAGATGGCAAACATCCTAATAGAAATAAAAGCAAAGAAAAAAAACACACTCAATGAAAGAGAGGAAGAAACATTCTTTGTGAAGGCAATAATAGTGAGGTGATTTGCTTTAAAAGCAGAAGTGTGATCATGGCATATAAGACAGATTCCAAACGTACCACAATAACCACAGACAGCCTACACAAAATACAACAATAAAATAAAGTACAGAACAAAATAAATATAAAAACATATCACGTTATCTTTATACATATAATGATTCATCAACCTCATTTAACTCATTCGCTACGTATTATTTTCGGCTTGTGGACGAATTCTTTTCGGGAGGGCGAAATGAGATGATGACTAGTGCGCAGTTCACAGGTCTTTGGGGCCATAAATTCAAACAAATATCAACATATTATATACCAACATTTTCAGTATGGTTTGTAGAATACACCTGCATTATTTATTTGCGTATTTTTCAACTTTGGTTCCTGTAAGAGGCGATTGTGCAACACAATTGTGATTGGATGCGGATAAAATTGGAAAATAAAAAATTTATAATCTCAGGTGAAACTAAAAAAACACGTTTGCACCTAGTCAAATGATACCTCAAAATAACCATAACTGTATATAGAACAGGAAAATATTGAAAAATGTGCTGTTATTTACATACATTCCATAATATTTGTACATTTGGATCATAACATCCGATATTGAAAAAAAAAAAAAAATTAAATAATTTTGAAAAAAGGATCACAAACAGAAAAAAATATGCGTAACTTATATGGAATTATTCAGAATTGCACTTGGAATAAACCTATACATGTCTTGAGTGGTACTTTTTGATTAATTTCATCCAAAAGTAGTGATTTTGGGGAGAAAAAAATATTTTGACTATTTAGATCTAGGCCTAGATCTAGCACTCAAAAATATTGATTTCTCAAATACAGTGCACCGGCAATTTGTGTCCAATAGTATCAATATTATAAAGAAGAGTCCTACACTTCTTTAGTGAGCAAAATAATTATACATTTTGTTGTGTAAAAGTACTAAGACTGGTGTCTGGGCTATAATTTGGGCTTCGCAATAAAACAAAGTCGAATAAACTACGAAATCATGTTTCAAAACTGAATCAAAACTTCCGATTTTCGGTGGAAACGCTTGACCCGGAAGTCAACATTATATTATGACCTTTATTTTAACATGGATAAGTGGATTGGAATAGAAACCAAGCTAAAATTGAACATCGGTTCTCGAGCCGCCAGGGGCGGCTTAACGTACTGACGGCACTTGAGCCGCGCCACCCCCCACGGCTCGGCGTAGCGAATGAGTTAATACACAATAGTATACCAAAACAGGTAACTATGGCTCCTGCAGCCTGGTGGATTTTGTGGGCAGAAAGTGCTCCACCATAAAACTGACTTATATTAAAGTCTTGTTGAGTATTTACATTAATAGATAAAAGTAAAAAATAAAAACCTACTGACTAAAAGATTTAAAAGAAAAGAAAACCAAAACCCCTCAAGCTAAATTACATTTAAAAGAGGGGGGGAAAAGATTTTTCAAAAACACTACAAGTAAACACACTACTGGCCCTAAGGAGTTAATTGTGCTGATTGGCTTTTCAGAAGACTTAATGATTACCTCAGACTGACATCTGGGCTTAAATGATTGGGCTCCTAGCCTCATGCACAGAAGGCACGAGTTCGTGTTCAATGTGGGGAAGATATGTCATTCTTATATGTTAATCATTCTCTTGAAAGTGTTCCACACAGCCTGTACTGGCCCTGACTGGCAGAGTCAGAGCATCCTGCCTCCAAAAGAACCTTCATTCTGATTTGCTTAGCTTAAAAAGATGTAATCATTTAGCAGAAGCGTAAATTTTGTAGCTCAAATGCTTAAGACAAATCTTAGTGAGCAGCAGAAGATATGGATGACAACTGAAAAGAAAAGGTCTTTCCTACCATTTTCAGATCATCTGGCATATCTTCATCCAGCTCGTTCTTAGCAGCCTTCTCCAGGGTTGATGAGGCGCACTCCAGCATTTTCTCATTGTGAGCATTCTCGTGTTCTCTGGCCTGGGTCAGGTAAGCCTGAACATTTTCCAAAAAGACGCTGACCAAGTCTTGCATGTTCCGTTCAAAATCCTTGATCACTTCCTGAAATCAAAAAAGCCTTTTACATACGAGCAGTAAGAGATTCAGTTATGTTCTTAATACAGCATAAAGTCCTTTAGAACAACTAATTGTTTATCAATAAATGAAGTCTGAAACCGCACTATTGTTTAGTCTAAGAGAAAAAGTGAGTTTATTATTAATGGTCTGTACAATATTTTGAAACAGATCAACAGATATAGGCAGAGAATCAAGTCATGCACATTGAACCCAATTATATGGACCAGTGTTGGTACGCAGATAACAAAATCAGTACATGGCGAAAGTCTGCAAATCAAAATAGAAATGATGAGTTTTGAAAGACATGAGAGTTAATCGCTTCGGCAGGACATGTAACATGTGTTGTAATCTTAACTGGCAGCTGATTGAAAGCCACAGAAGCAGAACCAGCACATTCATGATATCTAATGTATATGATAAAGAATATTATGAATTAGAACTGAAATCTGTTGTTTTCTTGGTTTTAGTTTCCTCACTTGACTAAGATATAATATATCTTTTCTGCGGTCGCGGTTGTAAGAGCAAATTTCACTACAATAGTGAAATTATGATAAAGATAGACCTGAAGATGCAAACTGTAATTCTTTATTATGATTTTTTTGTATGTATCTAAACCTCTAGCTGATCCACCAGTTGCAGTTCCAGGCCCATAAGTTTGTCCCAAAGGCCTGTGACCAAGTTGTTGTACTCTTGAACTTTGCTCTCTACCATCTTAACATCTGTCATGTGCTGCAGCTCAATGAAAACCTGCCAGATAAAAAAAGATATCAATAAAAATTTCCATTAACTAAAGTAATAATCTCACCCATATATACTAATAAAGGTCTGTCAATAGATTCTATGCACAGAATCATATAAATGATGTCCATTAATTTTAAGAGCACTCAAGTAAACAACTTCAAAGAAAGAGAAACTAGTTATGATGTTGAACATTCTTGCTTTGAAACATCTGTTCATCTGACAATGAGAGAACAAGAAAGAAGAGCTATGAAAACTTGTGAGTTTACTTTTAAAAAATCATATCTGTGACAAATTATGCATATTTGTCTGTGATCTCAACAACAAAACACAGCCAGCCTTCTATCCATCTACACAAGGACTGGTTTGTAACGAACAATATGAATGAAAGTTTTAATTCTTCTTTCAAAACTAGTAATTAAAAGATCCACAACATAAAACACAAAGGTGTCACTAAGCAGATGGGAAAATTTAAAAATAATCTTATAGTCGTTTCAAGATTTGTAATAACACCTGTTGGTACATCACTGAAAAATATAATGTATAGAAAAGACAATGTAACATGAACATTTTAAAAGGAGAGATAAGTTATGTGCATTATTCTACAGGAGAGGAGTGGCAAAGGCAACAGGGAAAGGAAAGGAAAAATAGGTCAAAACCACAAGGGGTACTCTGATGTTGTCATTCTTACCTGTTTCTTTTCAGCCATGAAATTTTCAATGGCTTTCATTCCCATTTCCTTGTTCTCATCCTTTGCCTCATTAACACACTCCCAGAACATGTCAACCTCAGCTTTCCTTTTTTCATACTCTTGAAGGCCAAAGTCAAAAAGCTGTTGACAAACTGACTGGATCCTCTCTTTAAATGTAAGATTGTTAAGGAAAAATAAAATCAGCTGAATATGCATAAAACTGAAGAAGAAAAACCCTGTGTAGCTTTGAAGCAAAACAATTTTCAAATAGTGGCATTCACAATAAACATCGAAAAAAGATATCATTATCATTGCTCTCTTGTTTTAAACTGTCAGAGATAGAGGATAAAATATCTCTGAATAAAGGTAAGTCATGCAAAGTTACCTAGCTTTGAAGCTAAGAAAGTAAGTTTTGAGAGACTATAGTATAACACAGATAGCTCGAATTCATTGGGACCGGCCTCGGCAGTTCAAGAGATACGTGAACACTGTTATGACATCAGCTGTAAGAGAATCAAAGGATGCAACAAAGATTGGGTCGGAACAGAGGTTTTTCTATTTTCGGCCATAGTCCTAGATCAGATAGGTTACATCTATGCCTATTGACTTAAACTTAAAATCTGAGAGAATTTGAAATTGACAGATTGAGAATTAGAAACATGATGAGCAACGCTTTAGAGTTCGATCGCTAATGAGCCTACCGGTACCAAAACAGTTTGACTGCACGGGTCAGTGTGAGCGGTCTTTAGTTTGCACCAATCGAACGGTGCCTTTTCAAATTTTGCAAAACATAAACAATTTGACAAGATAAACATATCACAATAGTAATCAACAGCGCAACGACGAATTAATGAAGCCCTACCCCGCCCCTCCCACCACGCTCGCAGTCTTTTGCAAATAAGGGTGGGGCGGCCCATCATGTGATGTAAACCCCTCCTCCCGCCCACTCCACACAAGCCTAGCTAGGCCTAGGACCTAAGCACACACAGAAGGCACACATGTCAAGCAGCGGCGCTAAAAAAAAGCATAGCAAGCTGCTTTTGGGGGGGGGGGGAGGGAGGGGGAGGGAGGGGGAGGGGGTTAGTATTTTACCGACCTTGCCTTTTTCTGTTTTTATTATCATTATTATATTTTGTCTCAAGTGCACCTCAAAAGGCATTGGTTTTGTACCTCTACGGCGACGTAGTTAGTACGACTATTCCGTGTTTGAGTTCAAGCTTCGCATATATAATTCTCTTACAAAGATAAAGAAGAAGAAAAAAACAGGACCGCAAGCACAGTTCCACAGATGTGTGATTTTTAGTATGTGTTGACCTATCCGGGTTATACTGTAGTTTGCAGTAGAGTTGCACTTTAAATATCAACACTTATCGCATTATCTGAAGACAAAAAAAATTATTTCTTTCTTATCCCTTCATATTTTTATTCATGGTAGATTATTTACGGTTCTTTTATTCTTATTCTTTTTCAAACCACTCCGAATAAATACACATAAGTAAACTCTTACTGGAAAACAGTTCTATCTAAGGAATGTGCAAAGAAATAAAACTTTAAAATGGTCATCCGCTCAGCACCAACAGCAAAGCACCAACAGCAAGATGCTGTTAGAAAAAGTTTAGATCGAAGACAATGCAAGCATTAGATTCCAAAATCGTAAAGTAAAGGATATACAACAAGCATTTCATCCACTCCTGGCATATAGTTCAACTTAACACCCTCAGGATCATCTGCGTACATGTCTCTGTACAGCTTGTCTGTGTTCAGATACTCCACATATGCCTCCTGCAAAATTATACTATGCAGTTGAAAAATATTGGTGGCAAAAAGAAAATAAATGTCAATGAACTCTCAGATCAAATCTGTAACAAAATACAACATTAATTTAACACCTACATAATTACAGTTTAATATATTCCATGAAGCCCTATCAGTATAACATCTTGTAACACTATCCTGAGAATGCAAGGCCTTGTTCCTTCCATACTGAATCAATAGCTACATTTTGAGTGGAAATCTTGAAGGTACAATGCAATTTTTCTTTATCACAGCTTTACAGAGTTAACAAAACTCATACAAAGCTATGGAAGCTTACAAAACTTGAGTAAAATTTTTACCCGAGCTTATTCCCTTCGAGAAAATGAGGAATAAATAAACCTGCTGGTAATTATTTAGCCTGAGCTTCAGACACATATGAACTAAACCTGAAGCGCTAAAAAAAGGAAAAAAATACAACTCTGATTTTCAGCCTCCAAACTCCTGATGCTCAGATAGGTTACCACCTTGAGAATTCAATAATTGCTTTTTCAACATCCCAATCTGAAAGGCAGTAGAAACAATTTTTTTCATTCTCCTAACTTAAACAACAAATACCCTGGAATACAAATTTCAAAAGTCCTTCCTCAACTCGAGGCTCATAGATGTAAACTTAAAGGAGTAAACCCAAAGGTTATAATAAGACAATAGCAACGATGAAGGTTTGGCTTCTTTGCAGCGATGTTGCTCAGCATTTTCAATCTGCACATCTAATTAACCTTCATTTATTCTTATCCATTAAGCAGCATGAGACTTTATGAGCACTTTAGTTAATATTCAGTTTTCTGCTAGTGTTCAGCAAAGAATACTTGCATCAGCTCAGCTTTCTGAAGACAAAAAAATCAGAATAAGTTCAACCTTGTGTAGCTGAATCTCCTTTTCTCTCTTGTCTTGTTCCTCTGCTGCTAACCGGGCTTTGTTGTCTTTGTCAATCTGCTCCTCCACCTGTGTTTGATGTTTCTCATAGGCTGCTGCTTTCTGAGAGAAAAATGTATTGAGATACTTTCAGAAACTTAAACTGACAGACGTGACACAGTTAGTTTTAAACTTGACGGACATTTGGAAGCTTGAAGTGCAAATAATATATTTCTTATCAACCCTACACAGTTCTCTTAGAACTTAATGTTCCAAGTGAAATGAAGTATCTGCTTTCAAAATGCATTTCTATATCAAATTGGGTGATAAACTTTGAATTTAAAAATATGAACGATTATAAATGATAATAAAAGTAATTGTAAACAATAATAAAAGTTTTAAAATCTCACTTACTGTCTGTTCATCCAACAATCTGTAGTCAAGGAAGTCTAGGTTTGGCAGAAACGCAGCAACATACTGCTTGAAATTTTCTTCTTTGCAGACAGGATTGTTGCTGATGTTCAGTGTTTTCAGTTTGGGGAATTTCCGCAAATAAAGTATCTGTTGAGAAAAAACATTAACATTTATTTCACGACATTCAGCAATAGGACATTTGAATGACTTAATTTCAAATAAATTCTTAGTGTCAAAAGAGAATCTGCACTCTGGTACTGGCAAGATTGCAGTTACATGGGATTAACACAAAAAGTGTCAGAACATCACATAAACTGGACAAAAACAATTTTAAAATGCCTTTCGGAAACTTTGACAAATTTCATGGTTGTTGATCATAACTTACGTCTTTGATGTCCTTTATTTCGTTATTCCCAATGGAGAAAACATGAAGCTGTGTCAGAGAGTCTAAGTTCTCTATCTTGCTGATTCTGTTGTTGTACAATGTTAGATCTTCCAGCTTAGTCAGACTGCTCAAACCTTCAATCACTTCAATGTTGTTGAATGATAAATCTGTAGAGTAAAAATGTCCAGAATAATTCTACAACTAAACATTCACCAATATATTACCAAGCTAGGATTCTGAAATGAAAAGGTGAGGTTTTTTTTAATCTTCAAAAATAAATTCCTTATGTACAATTGATATCTTGACTAGTCAAACCTAAAGCCGAATCATGAAAGATATCAGAAAAGCGGTAATCAAAAGAGATAAAAATGTTGATACCTTTAACACTGGGTGTGCCGGATGTTCGAAAAATGAAAAAGCAGAGAGCAAACATCAGCCAGTCAAAACTCTTACTGACATTCAAATGAAGTGGTCAGAAATATCAGAAGACATTTCATTTGACTTACACTAACAAGAGTGAAAATATATTTTACATAGGGTGAGAAAGTAAAAAACTGAATACAAATACTTGAAAAACAGAAGATTGTGACGAAAATGAGTATACATCTTTAAGTGAGGCATCAGGAAATCAGGCGTTTGTCAAAATAATGAAATCAAAGAAACTGGATTTTTAGGTGGGTTTGGCAATTTTAATCGAATTTTATTTCTTGGCTTACGTCTTTTAAGCCCTTTAAAAAATACACTTTTGTGTGGATTATATTGATATTTTAAATGTTTATTAAACATACAAAAAATGTACATTTTCAGTTTCCATGGATTCTCAAGCTATGTATAGAAGTCACCAAACTTTGGCGGCCATTTTCTCCCTAATTTCACCTCTGAAACCAGGTGACCTCCACCTCCTTCAATCACAAACATCTCAACTTCTATTCAAACGGGCACTTTTTTTTCATCAAAAGAAAGACAAATGGACAAACTTTATGATGAAACCAATAGCTCCATATATGCCTAAAAATTGACAAGGGCCTGATTCGACCGCATTGTGATAAACATATTTACCTAGCCAAATCAAGTTGACAAGTACATCAAAACCCTCAATTTTCTCAATGATGTTGTTGTCTAGTTGCAGCTTGGTCAGTGAAGTAAATTCCCAAAGATTGTCAATTTTCAAGATATCTGGGGAAGAGATGATGGCAAAATGTGATAAGGATATTTTCAAGACAAGCAGCTTGAGATATTTTCAGGTCAGGATAAATATCAAAATACAGTAGTGTCCACCTAATAGCAACTCTGTTGGGAAGCAAGTCTTGGTTGCTGTTAAGCAGAGGTTGCTGCTAACTTAATTTTCCAATGGGGATAATCTGTATCTATTCACCCCCCCCCCCCCCCCCACACACACACACATACATATAGACACATACATGCAAGCACATACATGCATGCACACACCTGCGCATGCACGCACGAGCACACATCCTAATCGCAGGATGTGAGGATGTTGTTACGCTGAAAAATTAGAACATAGGCAGGTTTGGTGGCTGAAGTTTTACCTGACTTTGTCCTTTCAAATGAGCCGATGCTCAAACGCAGGACAGTAATGTTACACACAATGGCTGAGACTTCCCCCAATTGTTGAAGGAAAAATAGCTCATTTGGAGAGAGAGTGTGAACTAATTTCCTGTAGGCCTACTTGATGTAGTGTAAATTTTGGCCTGAGCATGTCTTGTGAGGAAATAAACAAGAGAGGAGGGATGTAAACACATTGAAATTATGAGACAGTCTCAGTTTCACACTGCTTTCAAGTTGTGAAAAAAAATTTTTGTCAGGCAATTTATAGTAACAAAGACACTGTTAAAGGAAAAAATGTTGCTGTTGTCTCGGTTGATGTTAAGTGGACACCACTGTATAATGAATAATGTTTAAGAAATTCAAATTTACATTAACAGTACTCAATGAATAAAGTAAAACAATAGTTTCAGAGTTTTTCCTTGAAGAAAAAGAAATTAGATAAATGTAAATATGGCTGCTTGTTTGAAATAAGGGTTTTTTAAAGTATAAAAGTGCACTAAGGATATGGTATTAGGGATTCAGAGAATACTCCAATTCATAACAACTGTGGTTTATTATTTCTTGGGAAGCCTTCTATCATAAAAGGAATACCATGAAAGAGGAAAAGCCAGTTTTCAAAAGTTGAGGCAAAAATTTGGACAAACTGTGGTCTAATTCGCTGCGATTATCTGGCAAGCCACAAGCACGTAAAATGAGTGAACAAACTCAGTGTAGCCTAGTGAGTGTAGGAGAATAACGGTGCACGGGGGGGTATAAAAACAGATGCGAAAGTTGAACCGGTTGAACCGGCCTTCCGAGCCGCCACTTAAATCTAGGCTGAGCAGGGATCGATGCTACTGGTGGGTCGACACAGTGGATGGAGCTCCGGACCTGTAAGACCCACACACATCGTTCCCTGCTCGAAACTGTGAGTATTGAACACAATGTAAAAATAGACTAACGAGTAGAATCTAGGATTAGATATATATAGCACTTATCATCTCATTACACAAACATGTAAAACTATATGCTATATATACATATACGGTAGAGTCCACGAATCTCTAACATGAAAATCACGAATTCTCGGGTATCTCGAACATAATGCTCGGTCTTGTTTCAGTCCCTATGTTTTCTTTGTATTGACTTCACGGAGTTCCCAAAAACACGGAAGACGCAACACTCAAATCTTGAACAAATTCACTTGGCATTCTCAACTAAAGACCCGGCTTTACAGCCTTTCTGGCCACGGGTTGTTATTTCTTTGTTATTGTCACAGTCAAAATGTGGTCCTTGTCTCACCACGAGAGGCTGGAGGAAGGGGGGACGGGGAAAGGGGTGGGGAGTGATGCTGACCACACCACATGACTGGCTTGCCACACCTACAATCATGCTGTGGGACGCGCACGGTGCGGAGGGCAAGAGGCGTAACTTCTTTAAGCCAATGAAATGAGAGGAAAAGAATGTTGTAGGAGTCAGCTGTGCACACATGAGATTTTCTGCTTTCCAATTCCATCAAGGGAGCTAAGCAAGTTAATTGTTTTAAGGTTCTTTTTTACCTCCCGTGATCTTCTCTCTATTTCTTGTATTTGGAGTTTTCATGAACATGGTAAATTACAGAAATTTCTAACACTATTTCCAATTCCCGACAAATTCGACTTACCCATGTTTGACAGTATATATATATAAAGGACAAAATAAACATAGAATTGGCCTTACTTTTGAAATCTAGTCTTAAGGACAAAACATCTGCAAAGTTGATTCCTTCTTTCTTGGCAATCTTTCCAGCTTCATCTTTTGGACCTTGTTCTTCAACTGCCTTCTGCAGCATTTCCTCATCGATAACTGAGGGCTCAACCGTATCATAGAGCCGACTCATTTTGCTTGAGTATCTGAAAAACCAGTTTGTCAACTTGGAGTTATTTCTTTGGCACATATACATTTCAAATCAATCTTCACAACTTCAAAATTGTAACATTTACCATTTGTCTAATTCTAAAAGACAAGGATTTTCAGACACAAGCAGTTACACTGAGAACCTGATGAGGAAAATGAGGGTATTCATTGTATATTTAGTCAGCATGATAATGTCCCTTGTAAACTTGAGATCTTGACGAATTTATTTTAAAATATAGGCCTAAACATTGGTAAGAACTCATACTGAGTTAATAGGGTTTATGGGGAAAAAATAACCCGTGGTCAGAACTGTCTATTTAGAAAGTATAACAACTATTGTATAACTAATCTAGACCTAAATTGACCTAAATAAACATACGGAGAGAAAAGGAAAAGTCAAAAGATAGTTCTTGGCTAAGAATAAGACGACTAATTTTTTGAGAAAATGCCTACTTTGAAATTGTTGAATCTGAACAAAGTAAATCAGTGTCTTCAGCTCAATATCATTACAATAATCGAAGGGGCTATTCGGACTCGAGTCTGATAGCCTCCCGTGGCTATTCAGACTCAAACTCCAATAAAGCATGCTGGAATTGATTTTTTTCATTTTATCGATTTCAGGATGACTTACTTATTGGATGATCATTTTCCAAACTGACAATTCTTCTGTCATTTTAATGTAGTTTTAAAGTTTAATTTGTATTTTATTTGTCCCCAAGAAAGGACTATTTTAATGACTTTACTAACATTTTGAGCTGATACCCTTTCTTCAGACAATGGAAGGAGGCTATCCAAACTCGAGTCTGAATAGACGTAGCCTATAACTATAAATAATTATAATTAATGAAAAAATGACCTAACTTCTAAATAGCTCTATTTAAAGAAAGTGGCTATTCTCCGGCGTCACGCCGGTCAATAGATTAGAAGCTATTCTCTGGCGTCACGCCGCCGGTCTATTACTTATGAATTACAATTTGTTGGCACATATTTTGAGATACAATAACTAGACCTCTATGCCTAGTAAGTCTACCTTTCATTATATTTTATCTATGATAATTGTCTAACGTCACTTTATTCATTTATTTGGGTCGTCAATTTGCATATTTTAAAATAATGATTCTGTACCTTTAAACGGACAAAATTGATATTGTGTCTAAAATCCTGTCTAGTCAAATAGTATAGCTTGCTTTTTAACTTATCTCTAGTTCTTATAATTTTCGATAAATTTAACTGATATTTCGTGACTTCAGTGCTTTCTTGTCGTCTCCGTTTTTGTAAACAGTGAAAATGTCACAGTGGTGATAACACGTTTCTTCTATAAGCACCTAACATATAATTCTTAATTGGAGGAATTGAGGCAGTTTGTGTCTGACAACCTATCGTCTGTATCAATGGAAGTGGCACGAAGTGGTGAAGTTATGGGAATTTTTTCTCAAGACAAACAGATGAGAGACGTATTTGCAAATCTGCGCCGACAAATTATCAGTAATAGACCGGCGGCGTGACGCCGCAGAATAGCTTCCGATCTATTGACCGATGCGACACCGGAGAATAGCCACTTGCAAAAGACAAAGATATATTCAAATATATCTTGGAGAATGCAAACCCTTGATTACAAGCCCCCCCCCCCCCCCCCCCTCCAATTTCCCCCCGGAAGAGGCTAGCCGTACTTAATGACGGCTAGACTGGCAGTCTAGCCGTACTTAGACTGGTTGGCTAGCCGTACTTAAGTACGGCTAGACTGGCAGTCTAGCCGTACTTATTCTAAATATGATGGCTAGACTAACCATTTAAAAAAAATAGGCCTTCTCAACCTTCTGAATTGTTAATATAAATTTTTTTTGTGCAGTACCTAAAGTATTTGTATTTGAGACAAAACCAGGTGCCTTAATGACAGTGCATGTATTTTTAACCTCCTGTTTTCTAATGTTAATAGGGCCTAAGATAAATATAACGGCTAGACTGGCAGTCGCTAGCCGTACTTAAGTACGGGTAGACAGCCAGGCTAGCCGTGCTTAAGGACGGCTAGACTGTCAGGCTAGCCATACTTAATACTGATGGCTGAATTGTAAATGAAATTTTTTAATTAGCAATGCCTAAAGTATTTGTATTTCAGACAAAACCAAAAGGTGCCTATTATATACTATATACTGACTTGCATGTGCATGTATTAGAACCTGAATAATTACTAGATCTAGATCTAGATCTAATGAGACCTGTGTACTTAACAGGCTTGAGTCAATAGGGCCAAACCTAAATCTAAGTACAGTCTAGCCGTACTTAAGTACGGCTAGACTCTCAGTCATATATAGTTATACGGCTAACCACTTTGTTTCCCCCCTTCCGTCTGGATTGGGTTTTTTTTGGCGTTTTTTGTTGTTGCTAGATCTAGATCTAGATTGTAGATCTACAATTCTAGCTCTAGATCTAGATAGTAGAAATCTAGAATCTAGATATATATAGATCTAGATCTAGATCTAGATCTAGATCTATATAGAATCTATCTATATGTGCTACTTATAATGACTTATTTATTTTTGACGGTTTGTTTACGGATCTGTTCGGTCGAGTTTAGCTTGAGTATCGTAAAATACATTCTAAAGATTGAAACATAGATCTAGAGACAAGAATCAATTTTGTGAAAAAGAGATAAAACGTACCTTATAATCTAGAAGGGGTCAACTAAAGAACGTTTAAAAACGTCTAAACCACACACTTCAGTGTGACTTCTCTTTGAGATGTCCCGATGAACGCCATTAACACCGTTGCCTAGGAAGCGCTCCTTTCGTTTCGTTTCGTATCGTTGACTACTTTCTCAAGAAGGCCAGTTAGTATTTGAATTCAGATAAAGGGATATGTTCAAATTATTTTAAAAAATATATTCTACATAAAATGACACACGTTTTCAATCAAACAATCATTATTTTTTGTTCTTGAGGATAAATATTTTATTTTCATTATAATATATTATTATAAGGTAGGTTCTAGATTTTTAGCTTTTACTACATCTAGATGCGTAAAAAGAGTGGTAGGCAAGCATTTATCGAAAAACGAAATTAGATTTGTCCCAGTCCCCAAACACAGCTTCTGGCTGAGCTAACTTACTGGGACTGTGATTTATTGCGGAGGCCCAGACTAGACCCGAATTTGAGGACATAGATCTAGATCTCTCGTGCTGTAAGTTTAAGCACTCAGTGATATGCTGATATAGATCTATATGAATGTGTCCCAGCCAAGGCATATATATAGAATGGCCACCTCTATTCTCACCCGGGGTGAGAATAGAGCAGGCGAGTCTTTTGATTTTGGCTATTCTCACCCGGTGCGCGTTCACCGTTATAGCCTAGATCTAGGACAACAAATTTTGCGTTCACCCTAAACCACAGAAAAATTGTAGAATTCTGTGCCGTGAACAAACGTTCCATTACAACTGTAGCCTACTAAAAGCGTACAATTTTGTCTGGGCAGTGGAGAGAGAGAGAGGAGTAGCGAGAACTTCCGGGTAAAACAAAATGGCGACCCGCGTAGTTCGGCTCGATTCGAAAAGTTAAATAGCCGTAGCATCTTTGTAGACAACCAAATTAATTTACTTTTGTGTTTTAACATCATTTTAAAACTTTGTTTTGGTCAATTTGATCGTCCACACCGATAGACAGTATTCAGAAAGAGAGAGAGAGAAGAGGGGAGGAGTAGATCTTGCGAGAACTTCCGGGCGGGTGAGAATAGCCACTTCCATATAGAATCTAGATCTAGATTCTATATATAGAATCTCGAAGTGACTATTCGGACTCGAGTCCGAATATGAAAAATGTTATTCGGACTCTGATTCTTGTCAAGCATGACATCACTGCCGACTTCCTGTGACTCGTGACTCCAGCTCCAGCATGACATCACTGCCGACTTCCTGGGACTCGTGACTCCAGCTTCCTGTCCTGCCTCACTCATGACTCGCCTCAGGCTGGGTAGAGACCGGGATCACTTCGGGCAATGGCGTTATATTGTGCAGGAGCGGAGTTTTTATCTTATGATGAATTTGAGGCCGGCCTGAAAAGTTATAGCGCTTCTAATAAATGTTTATTTGTCAAGATGTCATCAGAAGCAATTAAACATGGCTCGTTAGCGTGTGTCGGGGTCGGATGGGCGGACTGCACACGTGTGGCTGTGTGTGCGTGTCGGGGAGAGGGGGGGCACTATCGGTCCGGGCGTTGAACGTCGCATACGCGTCAGTCTCCCCCCCCGGCAACTGATCATTACAATAATAAGCTAGTCTTGACGTAGATCTACGTAATGAATTGTGCGCTGGTCTATGGAATCAAAAGTTGCTGTATGCTCGGCTCTACACAGCAACACAACTTTTTCTTGGTAAAACAATCGAGATGACACAGGCTTGTGTATTTGAACGTTAGATCTATAGAACGAAGACACTTCCTTTTTTCCAGACCGTGTCCGAATAACATTTTTTCATATTCGGACTCGAGTCCGAATATGAAAAAATGTTATTCGGACTCAAGTCCGAATAATGACGGCCAGTTATTACTGTCAAAATGTTTAAAGTTCACATTTTACACCAAATATGTAAAATACCGGCTTAAAAAATATATGAAATAAAAGATCAGCTTATTTTCTATTAGAATAAAGTAATCAGCTTGGAATTATTTTTCATCAATCCTTCTACTGCAAGACTCAGAAAGCATGTGACCCCGCACGACGGGTACACTACAGTATAGAGCCGACTCGCTTGCTGCGGGGCCCGGTGCGGCGCCGCGTGGTCAACGCTCAGTGTTTTTGTCGAAATAACGACAGATCATCGTGTTTGAGGGGAAAAAATACGGATTTGTAATAATCTCAGTCTTGAAAAAAATTAGGCTCCATATATTTGTTATATTGTGCTCTGTTACTGTGGAGATGTTTAGTGCTCTTGGTACTCTTTTATTGTCTGTCAAAATGGGGTTGCAGCCAGTGACTGACTTCAACAAATTTGATCAAATTTTAAACAACTACCATTTTCTTAAAAATTGACTGAGAGGTTAAAGAATGGTACCAAAATGCTCAGTGGATATAGGCCTTTCAAATGGAACTGATAAATTTGGCATACAGCTACTTTGAAAATTTAGTTTCTGGTACCTAAAATAAGTACCCATTCGCACAGGGTGTGTAAATACTATGGGATTGTATTCATACTAAGAAATTTTATTCGCACAGTGTGTGTGAATACTACGAAATTTTATTCGCACAGGGTGTATAAATACTGTGTGAATACTATGAAATGTTATTAGCACAGGGTGTGTGAATACTATAAAATTATTTTCGCTCAGGGTGTGTGAATACTACAAAATATTAGTGGCACGCAGGGCGTTTCAAAAGAAGGATGGAAATAAATTGGGCCTAGGGCCTAGCATTTCCTCATTTTTTTTCCCCTCATCGTGTAGGGACAAAAATCATGTATAACAAGATAGTTCACTTCTCTCTTTGAGCCAATTAAAAAAATTAAGAATTTGGTGGCGCTCTCTTCGAAAAAGTGCGGACTTTGCGAACAGAGTTGTAAACCCTACTACTTGTGTGAAAAACAATAAAAGTGAAATTAACAGACTGTGCTTATCCTATCTTTCTTCTAGAGAAACGAAAGAGAGCTTCAAAATTTAAAGACTCCAGCGCCATCCGAAGCAATGCGCGGACTTCTGCGAACACTTTTCGGGCTGAGTGAACAATAATGTTTTATGTGCTATCTTTGGTAGGGATAGATCTAATTCTAATTGTGCAATGCGATACAAAAAACCCCCCCACTCAAATTGGAATTCAAGTTATGTATTGTGTCAATGACACGCGATTAAACGTAGAAGGAGCCAATTATTTTTAGGTAAATTGGCCATTTTGTGTTACGTCAGACTGGAACACCTCCTCCAATCATGTGACTATATATAAATATAGCCAACGGGATGACACAACGCTTTGGTGCGATGTTTTTCCAGGAATACCGGTAATGTGATCTGATGCGGTGCTCCGATGATGAGAATAGAATAGTCTCTTTTTTACGGTAGATCTAGAGGAAACGTTCAAAGAATGAATTCAATAGACACGTTATTTTGTTTTCCTTGTTGTGCCTTGAGAGAGAGAGAGAAAGAGAGAGATGAGTGCATTCTTTAACCCTAAAACTGAAACAAGTATGATATTTTACCATTGTACAGTTGTTTTACAGCCGTGCAGTCTCGGCATCGAGAAGAATAGGACTGACGTGGTGCTAGCGTGTCGTACGAGGCGACTAAATGGCGAACCAGGTAGTGACTCCTGAAACAGAGTCATCCTGCCTCCAGGTCGGGGGTTGAGTCACGAGGCTAACAACCTCTCTCGTAAAAAGAACCTGTTACAGAAACACATACAAGCAAAAACCATTGTCTCTGCTTGGCTGATCGTGGATCTTCTCCAAATGAAGAGTTTATGATGCAAGGCAGTGAAAGCCGAAAGGAAGCTGCTCGGCAGAAGCCTTCACCATCATCCAAGTCCAAGTCTCTTCGGATCGGCTCGTGGAACGTTAGGACCCTCTATGAGGCTGAAAAACTGCACAAGTTCTCCAAGAAATGCACCAATACCAACTACACATACTGGGAATCAGCGAGACCCACTTGAACCAGTCTGGACAGAAGCGAATGAAAGAGGGGGAGCTCTTCGCTTATTCTGGAAATGACAGTGATGGACCACACAGGGAAGGAGTAGGGATGATCATATCAAAAACAGCTCAAAAGACATTCAGGTGCTGGGAAGCACATGGTCCAAGGATCATCATGGCCTCATTTGGAACTAAGAAAGAACTCAAGGTAAGAGATGGTAGGAAGAAGGTCATTAACATGAACATCATACAAGTGTATGCTCCAACCAATGATGCAGAAGTGGAGAATAAAGATGACTTCTACAACCGCCTGCAGAACGTCATCGACAAACTTCCAGGTAAGGACATCAACATTGTCATGGGAGATCTAAATGCAAAGGTAGGTTCGGACAATAGTCACAATGAGGAAATCATGGGCAGACACGGATTAGGAGAGGCAAACGACAATGGAGAAAGGTTCCAAAACTTCTGTACATTCAACAACTTGGTCATTGGAGGTACAATCTTCCCACACAAAAGGATTCACAAGGCCACTTGGGTCTCCCCGGACGGAACAACGGAAAACCAGATCGACCACTTTTGCATCTCCCGAAAGTTTAGACGCTCTCTGGAGGACGTCCGAGTCTTACGAGGAGCAGACGTCGCATCAGACCATCATTTGATCCTCGGAAAGCTGAAACTAAAACTGAGAAGATATGCACAAGTCGCCGCTGGAAATCGTCTAAAGTATGAAGTGAGCCTTCTGAAAGACCCAGTAAAGAAGAATGAGTTCAAGTTGGAACTGAAGAACTGATTTCAAGCCCTTCAAGATCTGGATGAATGTGAAGTCAACGAACACTGGGATAAGTTAAGAGAGGCAGTAAATGCAACTTGCCAGAGCACCCTAGGACCCAAAGACAACACCAGGAATGAATGGATTTCACAGGACTCTCTAGACAAAGTCAAAAGAAGAAGAGAGCTGAAGGCCCAAGTCAACAACAGCCGTACCCGAACTGAGAAACTCGCTGCACAACAAGAGTACACCGAGGTAAACCGGGAGGTAAAGAATTCCATCAAGAAGGACAAGAATACCTATCTGAATGGCCTGGCCGAAAAGGCAGAGAAAGCAGCAACAGACGGGCACTTGAGGATTGAAAGAAGGAAAGACTATCTTCAACCCAGAGGGGCAACTTAACCGATGGAGAGAACACTTTGATCAACTACTGAACAGACCACCTCCAGAAAACCAACCAGAAATTCTTCCAGCCAGAAATGACCTCCCAATAGACACGGAACCACCTTCAAGAG